TGTGGCACTCTACCCCAAAACAATTTTCTTTCATAATCAAAGGTGTCAAATGTGATAGCAATAAATGTTTACAATTTAGTAATAGATTATTAAGCATCCAAGAAACATTTATGAAGGAACTACTATACTTTTAGTACAAACTCTCAGTTGACTGCTTCTAAGGAAAATAGTATTTTTTCTAGGTAAATTAGTGTAGCATCTCTGAATGAAATTAGCTCATCATTATGAAATGTTTTATTTATTTGAGTGTTAAGATTTTTCTCTTTCTCTATCTCAAGTTCTTGCAAGTGTTGGAGGTCTCTATACTTCTGTTGTGGTCAAGTACACAGACAACATTATGAAAGGCTTTTCTGCAGCAGCAGCCATTGTCCTTTCTACCATTGCTTCAGTGATGCTGTTTGGATTACAGATAAGTATGTCTTAGTTTATATTAGTTGTTAAAATGGAAGAACCTTTCACCTACTGATTCACTCATCTCATTAAAAATGGCAGTTGGCTGTGCTGTTTGTAGAAATTCCTAGTTTTCTTACTACAAATCACAATTATGTGGAATGTAAGGAGGCAATAGTTAGGCTTTTTAAATGGTCCTAGAGCTGAAGCTGAGGGATGCTGGGTTTTATGGGGACTGCTTAGTTATTAAAAAGAGCTTTTTTTTTTTTTTTTTTTTTTTTGCAATCATGGCTTCTCTGTTTCAGAGATGTTAGATACATGATGATCTGAATGATCAGGGTGAACAGTAGGCCCTCCCTATCTGTGGGTTCTGCATCCATGAATTCAATCAGCCATTAGAAAAAATTTGGGGGAAAAATGCATCTGTACAGACTTTTTCTTGTCATTATCCTCTGAACTATATCTAGTAGAGCAGCTATTTATATAACCACTTACATTGCATTAGGTATGGTAAGTAACCTATAAATTAAGTATACAGAAGGATGTCTGTAGGTTGCATGCAAATATGCCACTTAATATATGGGACTAGAACATGTACAAATTTTGATATTCCTCTTACAATAGGAATAGGTAAACAGTAATTTTGCAGAAAACCATTTTATAGTATGATTCAATGCCCCATAGATTCTTGGGGACAACTAATATGAATGGTACTCAAGAAAATGATACTTGGATTAAATTAGTTAGGATTATTTTGAAGAAAACAGAAAACATTTTCATCTCCTTCTTTAGCTTATATTTTCCTGTTTTGGACTTGGTTAGGTGTGAATTGGTTTTGAAAATAATCCAAGTCTAGATTTTTATTTTCTGTTTTATAAAGATTTATTTTTTTCATTTAAACATTTTTGTTCTCATGTAATTAATATAAGTTAAATATTATAGCTAGCTTTCTGACACCACTGCTATGTTAGTCCTTCTAATATAAGTTTCCTGCCATTCAGTTGGCTTCTGAACTACTTAAGCAGTAAATATTTTTAGGGTGCTTTATGCTATATAATCATTTTCACTATTGACCAGTTCTATATTATAAAACTAACACACAAGGAAAATCTATCAAATGTCTGTTAAGTATAGGCCTGGCCTGTATTTACATTTAATTTTAGAATTTATTCCTTTTACAAATGCAGGTAGATAAACAGTAATGCTGCAGAAAACCATTTAATAGTATGATTCAAATCTAGCTTGTACCATTTATTAGTTGTATAACCTTGGAGAAGTTACATAACCTATGTTTGTTTCGTCATCTGTAAAATGGGAATAACATCACTATCTCCTGGGGTTGTTTTGCAGGGAATCTGCCTGATTCATAGTAAGTAACCTGTATAAAGCTAACCACTTAAAACTTCAGTGTTAGATATCTCCAGACATTCCATAGATGTTTTTCTTACCTGATTTGGGTGATTTTTTTGTTTGTTAGGTGAACTTTTAATTGTAGTTCTGATTTGTTCTTATGTCCTTGCTCCTGAAGAAAATCTGGTAATAGTGTAAAATGCTTTCAGTTAACTATTTAGATGTAAGATTAAAAACTGCCCCTCTTTTTTGAAAGCAAAGCTGGTCTTTTCTCTTTAGGGGTGAATTAAAATCATAGCTTGATGTCATTTCTCTGCATGCCATTTTTTAAAAAGCTATTAAGACGCTTCCATTGTATACTCGATATAGAATATGGTTCTATTTTTAATGGAATTTCATCATAAGCATTTATTTATATAATGCTTACATGCCAAGTTTTGACAAGTGGTAATTCCGTTTTTTGTATTCTGATTTTCAGAATAAAGATTTAAAAAGTATTGCAGGACATGTAATTTTATACACTAAATCACCACTTTATCTCTTCCCATTCAGAAATTTTCAGTGGTTTGAATAATTGGTCACCTAACTCTGAATTTTGTTCAAGTGTATTTTACTCTAAACTTTTCCATATTTCTGATATCATGGAAAAGCCACATCACACTGTATTTTTTAAGAATATTTTTAAATTGTCAATGGACCTTTATTTTATTTATTTATATGCAGTGCTGAGAATCAAACCCAGTGCCCCACACATGCTAGGCAAGCGCTCTACAACTGAGCCACAACTTCAGCCCCACACACTGCTTTTATTTTTTTGCATTCAATGTATTTATATTTTATATTCAAATTATAGAAGCTATTCTTTCTCAGTGATCAGTGAATGTCACCCCTTTTTCCTTTGTGCTAGAATGGACAAACTTTCTAAATATTACCATCATAAAAACAGAATCTTTAGCTTTATTTCTTATGATAGTATAAATACTTAATTTAAAATTTTCAGAAATTTATTGTTATAGAGCTTTAAAAGCACAAACACAAATTAAACTTTTCTTTTTCTTTTTTTGCCTCCTTCTCAGCACTTACCTTTGCTCTAGGTACTCTTCTTGTATGTGTTTCCATATATCTCTATGGATTACCTAGACAAGACACTACATCCATCCAACAGGGTGAAACAGCTTCAAAAGAGAGAATCATTGGAGTGTGATTTGAGCCTCAGGAGAGATTTCTACTATCACTAAACTATTTGCATTAAACTAGAGCCTTAAGTCAATCTTGGAAGGTAGATTAAACTGAGAACCAATTAACGGTATGACATAAGAATCAAGAAGAAAGCTATATGAATGAACTGTTAATACAGAGATTTAACGTGAGCCTGTTTGGGTTCAAGCTGTACTGTTTAGAATGAAGGAATTTTATTACTGTATATATAAATAATGTATATTAAAAGTATGGAGATGATATGGTATTAAAATCATGTGAAGCTACAATATTCAAGTAACAAGGTGTGGGACAATGTTCAAGGGTTAAAGTGCCAAAGCCATTTCTGTACTAACTGTTCTCTTGTTCAGGTACCAGGGGAGAAGGATGGCCCTTCCTTGTTCTCCAGTTCACATACAATATTGTGTCCCAGCAGCAGTAAAGACCTAGCTCTTTAAAGAGTCAGAAACGAGACAAGCTGGTTCAGAAACAAACTTGAATGTGTAATGGAATCTATTTCATAACTCAGACGATGATTCTGGGTGGTGACTGAGTACTTAGTGCTGTATTTGTGCCATTCATTGTCTGGTTCATATTTCTTTCCTCTTAGAAGGTATACTTTTTTTCAAAAACATTTCTAATGTCACTTTTATACTTTTTTTTATAAAGTATGGTTAAATGTTGGGCTCTCAATAATTTGTTAAATTTCAGTGTTTTTAAAAAAGTTTCTATAATGTTAATTGGGAAATTCAGCAATAAACTTATTTATATGAATTCTGTTTAATCACTTTTTTTGTAATGTAGATATGACCATTAAGAATGCAAAAACATAGAAAACCAAACCAATTTCTTTCAGCATGTAGAATCATATCAAGGTTCTTTGTTCGCAAATAATATCTATAAACGTGGTTTAAGTGAAACAAAACCAAATAAATCTAAATAATAGCAATCAGAGTTATAGGGTTCTTGGTTGTAGAAATTAATGAGTCTTTTTTCAGGGACCTGCTTTTGTGAAGACTTTGCTCTAACCATTACTGTCCATGTGTCATATCACTTAAGATTCAAATTGATCTGGGAAGGAGAAAATGTCTCAGAAGTGTAGAGGGATGATACTGCATGCACATATAAAACATGTTCCTATTGTACATTTTTTTAATTGATTTTTAAAAAATAAACGACAGTGGAATGCATTGCAATTCTTATTACACATAGACAGCACAATTTTTCATATCTCTGGTTGTACCTATTATACATTTTTATTCTGTGGATGTTTGTGCTAAGGGAATTTTAAGCAGAAAGTAGTATGGAAGCTAACTCACTTAAAATTGAGACTGTAGGGATGAGTCTTCTAGATGAAGGTAAACCATACTTGCCAATATAAAACAATGGTTATTCCAACCGGAGAAACTTTGACTCATATTGTTTTTCTTCATAAAAAGAGATGAAAATTTTCATATTCAGAAAACTTCTACTAGCAACACTTAGAATGACTTACAAAAGATGTGAATGAAAATGCTGGCAGAGGATGGCCATGCTGATCAAACAAATCACATCCTACTCATCTAAATCAAGCTCATGTTATTGCATCAAGTCACACAAAATCTACATAACAAATATGTAGATACAGAAAGTTTTTTTTTTTAATTCCTCATCAAATACAGTTTAACTATTGGACTGCATTTTGTGAATGTCTGTACAATTAATTTTCTTGCTATTCAAATATATTCAGCCTGAAGTTAACATAGGAAGCTGCCAGTATGTATCAACTAAAAGGTAAGTGTGAGGTAGGTTCTCTCTGGGAGTTGTCAGCTATACTGCCAAAAAGATGCTTAATTTTTTTTTAATCTTATTTTTCAGAACTAGCCATGACTACCAACGGCTTGGGAGGCTGAGGCAAGAGGATTACGAGTTCAAAGTCAGCCTCAGCAAGAGTGAGGTGCTCTTGCTGTCTCTAAATAAAATATAAAATATGGCTGGGGATGTGGCTTAGTGGTCRAGGGCCCCTGAGTTCAATCCTTGATTCCCCCCTGCCTGCCCAAAATTAATTTCTGGAAGAATGACACTATAAGAAACGTCAAGTCATAGTTTAAATTCTTTATCCCCATTAGACCACGATATTTTGAGTTTAAAATGACACAACTTAGTTTTACAAATTCTAAGTACCTACTGACCATGAGGGAACTCACATTACTTTGTTAAGGATAAGGATTAAATAAGTTGGTAAGTCATACGTATTTCATCTAAAAACAAATAACTGAAATTCACTTAGCATTTTAAAACACCATTTTAATTACAAATTACATTCTACATACAGGAATTATTCCAAGAAGTTTCATTCCATTGGCCAAGACAGAACGGACAGCTTTGAAAAGATGAAGTCTGGCCTACAAAATAAACCAAAGAATGATTAGATGTTCAATAACATGCTACCTGTAAGTAAATAAATAAGAATGGTTTTAGAAGAGAAATAATTTTGGGGGGAGTAGAGATACTGGGGATTGAACTCAGAGGCATTCAACCACTGAACCACATCCCTAGCCCTAACTTTTTTGAATTTTATATAGAAACAGGGTCCCACTGAGTAGCTTAGTGCCTTGCTTTTGCTAAGGCTGGCTTTCAATTCTTGATCCTCCTGCCTCAGCCTCCAGAGCTGCTGGGATTACAGACATGTGCCACTGCACCAGCAAGTTTTAGAAGCAATTCTAACTTCTAATTTAAAGTAGGAATAATATTTCAAGTGCCCTAGAGTTTAGGTAAGGGAACAAATTCTTGAATCCCTTACAGCAAGACTAGTACAGAAGGCATTTATGGAGTGAGAATGGTTGAACTTTTTAACTCTATACCGGAGTAGGAAAATGTGTTTCTTAGTTTATGAACATTCGTTGTTAGACTCCAATTCTTAATTATTACCTGAATCAGAAAATACATTTCTATAATGTAATAATAAAATGTTATTTGATAAAATTCTACTAATATTTTGGAATCTTGGTCTGAGGCTGCTAAGGATTCCAGAGGAAAGACGCTCATTATAACCTACCCCAGCCACATCAGGAGGACTGTCTTTTATTTGGAGTGTTTTGTGTGCCACAGCTGCAAGATGACTAAAACAGAAAGAGAGAAATCATCATTGGAACAAGAAGAAATTTCCTGTTATCAAGTTCATGTTATATCTAATTCTTTTCCCTCAAATTGGAATAAGTCAAAATTTAGAAGCACTAAAGGAGGTATCCAAAGTTGTAAAGCTGAGACTGAAGTTCACTGCTTTTCTAAAACAAACTAAAACACAACTCAAGTTTTAAATTTTGGTCTTGGTTCTATTACCAAGTTCTTGATATTATAATTTCATTGCTAGTTTCTCCATTTATTTATTTTGTGTGTGTGGGGGGGGGCTGGGGATTGAACCCAGAGCCTTGTGCATGTGAGGCAAGTACTTTACCAACTGAGCTACGTCCCCAGCCCTCATTGCTAGTTTTACAAATATAGGTTATTCCTTTCTAACAACTTTTTACTTACTTGGACAATCTTTAAAATTAAAAAGTATAATATGCCACGGCGTTTTCCCTGTGTAGAGTGAGGAGGTGGGCTAGAGACTAGTTATCAATCCATTCTACACACACAAGCTACTCTTCTTTAAAACACCTTTTCTATTCAGGTATGGCAGCAAGTAGAACAATGTCCCAGAGAAATGATGCTTAGGATATTCATTTAATGACTGACATTTCCTAAGATTTTCTGGCTTTATTTCCTCTGTATATTAAGGAAAAAAAAAATTTAGTCAAGAAAATAGTCCTAAGGCTGGGTTTGGAGCTCAGCAATAGAGCACTTACCTAGCATATGTGAGGCACTGGGTTTGATCCTCAGAATCACATTAAAATAAATAATTGTGTCTAGTGTCTATCTATAACTGAAAAAAAAATAGTTCAACTAAGTATCCAATTTAGTAGATATTGAGTAAAAGCAAAATTTCCTTTCTTAAATAGCTTATGGGAGGGGCTGTGGCAGTGGCTCAGTGGTAAAGTGCTTGCCTAGCATGTGTGAGGCACTGGGTTTGATCCTTAGCACCACATACAAATAAATAAATGTATCATGTCCATCTACATCTAAAAAAAAATTAAAAAATTGCTTATAGGAAGTTAATACTGTTGCTATGTAAAAGTAGAATCAACTTCTATTCAAAGGTTTTAAAATAACCACAAAATTTCTATCGGAGTTTCACTGATTTGCCTCCCAATTCAATCTCTACCCTCTCTCTAGCTGACTTGATGTTTCTGTGCCTCTGCTTAAAATACTTTTATGGACCCACTGCCCTGAAAATCTAAATAGCAAAAAGTACATGGCAAAGAGGCGTGTACAGACATCATCTGTCATCCCTTCCAGGAATATCCTTGTAGTTCTTGCTCAACTCTGCTTTTTCCTTCTTCCTAGATACATGCTTCTCCTGATTAATATCTACTGCTTTCCCCTGAGAAGTCCCTTCTGATCCTCCAGGTCTGAGCTAAAATTGTCTTTTATGTTCACTCTATCACAACAAATATGCACTGTGCCGTAACTACCCAGATCATCGTGGGTAGTTGTCCCTATTCATTTGACTATAGTGACTATACTTTATGTCACTGATGAACAAATGAAACTGAATTGCTAATTGGCAAAAATTCCTGTAACTTGCAGCAAAACCATCAATTTTTTAGGGCAAGGGATCTGTCTATTTATAGGAAATCTTTAGATGAAAGAAATGTTCATTGTTGGATCAGGTCTCAAATGTCATTAATGCCTGAAAATAGGAAAATTATCAAATACCTTAGAGTTAGAAGGTAACTAACAATGTGCCTGGGTTGAAGGTCCTGAGATGATTTAAAAAGCACCTCGTCGAACCTAAAAGAAAGATGATAGGGAGGGCTGGCAGAGACAGACTATGCACACATTACTCTAAGTTGTTAAGAGACCTTGGATGAAAAGACTTACTTGATATCATTAAGTGTAGAGGGCATATGGAAAAAGACTTGTGCACATCTGAAGGTAAATGCATATTTTTCTTACAAATTCCTGATGCAGGGACTTTGTAAATCATCTTGCTACCCCTTAGGCCTAGTCCAGAGCAGACATATCATGGCTGTTAAAATGAATGTACAAAGCCTCCAGCCAACTTGAGGAACATAATCTACAAAATCTACCTTCAAGGCTAAGAAAATCAGGTTGTTTTATTTTCCTTCACAAATTAGCTGCCCATGAGTAAATTTTACTGTTTGGCAATCAAATAAAACTGCCTTATTTTCAGCTACCCACATTCTTCTTGGGACTGATCTATGTTAACAAGTCTAACAGGTATGGCCTCCTGCCCAGTGTGGGGGCATCAGACAGGCAGATTTATTTGAGACTGTGAGCTGAAGCCAGCAAGCAAGTGAAGGATGTATGGCCTTTTAGAAGCTGCACAAAGGGAGGATTTTTCCTTATCAGGGTGAGAAGGTGCTCTTTTCTAAAACCATAAGTTTATGCTTTTATCAGGCTTTACTTGCCCAAACAATGGGCTAGTAGATGCCAGGCATTTCTGCTAATTCAGAGGTGATAGCCTTTTTTTAAGACTCAAAGACTGATCTTGAGTAATGCCCTTCATCTTCTCTCAAAAGGCAGAAAAAACACTTTTGGGGCATACTTTTTAGTGGTCAGCAAAAATACCAACCAACAGTTAATTCAATTAGCAGAAGCAGACTTGGTAATACCAAAAAAAATCATACCTGAGAAGATGCTGGAGAATTGAAACAGACTGTGGCTCTTGTAAGCAAGCAGTGTTGAGGTCATTCAGATAACCAGATCCAAAAGTCTCTTCCAAACTATTATAAGTTAAAAACATCATAGACTTCATCTAAGGACACACACATAACTGTAGGTGATGAACATTACCTCAAATATACCATCTTGATCTCCTTAACATAGACCTAAACTTCAGTGCTAACATATTTAAGACCTGAATCCTCCATTTTCTCAATTGAGAAATTAAAATTGAATCTCAATTTGAATCCTCAAATTCTCGATTTGTTTCTATATCTGTAAAATGTAGGCAATAATACATTCTTTGGCAGCATGATTTTGAACTAATTAAGGTTAATATACATAAAGGCATTTCTTGTAGGTGCTTAATAAATATTTAAAAACAACAACAGGAGGTTTGTTGTGCTTTAACTGGTTTTGAATAGGAGATGCTAGAAAAACCCAACAAACAGGGCCTGCTATTGGTCTTGGAACTACAACACCCAGGTCCCAACCTAGGGGAGGGCAGTGGTTTCCCTGTGGTCTCTCTTCACCTGTGGAGGCGGGCATGCGTGTACTGAAGGAAGACTCCTGTATCCCCACGACTCTGGAAAACACGATCCCAGCTGAACTGATAATCCGATAAGAGTAAACCTCTGAAGTCCTACAATGACAGTAAATCTTTAGCCCTAGGATTTGTTCTAATACCAGACAAAAAGGTCTCATAAGAAGAGATCTAAACAGACCTGAATAATGAGCGCTGCGAGCCCAACCCTCTCTGCAGTCTCTTGTGGGTTCTCGAGTTCTTTAGTTGCTGAAATAGACAAAGGCAGCTCTCTTTAACCTGCCTGACACTGCCAAGATCACAGATAGAGGTGGAGGAAAAAATCTGCCAAAAATGCATGCTGACAATTAAAACCAAACAAGTTCAGAGTGGGCACTTTACCTTCCTAGTTTAGGCTAATTTTTACTTTTCCTGCCTCATTAAAGGGAAGAAATAAGAATTTATTTTTCCTACAGATATGCCTTGTAAGATATTAGAATAGCTGACACTTATTTTTCTAAGGGAGATTAAATAAATCCATAAGAGCTTGTGACCTGTATCTAATTTGTAACATAGGAACCTCACACAATAACCCAGACAACAGAATGACGATGCCTGAACTGTCCATGAAAAGAAGATTAAGATTCTATTCAGATTATTAAAATAAACAATTCATGAGCAGCAGGTCTGTTACCTTGGGCATCTAAAAATCAGTGAAAGCTACTTTTGACATGGCCAGGGAAAGTTCAGCAGACAATTATATCACATTGCCTGAAAGTCTAGTAAAACATAAAAGTAGCATGTAAGGTATGACTTCAACAACAAAATGTGAATTTACTTTTAATGGAAGCCATATTCTGTAGCATCCTTAGTCGAATCTCATTTAAGACATCTTCCAGAAAAGTGACATCTCCCCTTCTTGTCTTCATTCCTTGGACTACTCCAAAGGGCACGTGGTGGCACCTGAAATTCACAGGCATTTAGTCAACAGAAAGCTAAAAAAGAACTGGTAATCCTGAGTATACCAAAATATTCTTCCCAGAGAGGAACACAAACTACCCCTCATGGTGAAGTTTTAAAAATTAATAAAATAAAACAAGATGTGACTTGTTGAAGCCCCAAACATACTAAACAGAGAGCTTTATTTTATAAGATAACCACTAGCAGGTGATTAAACTACTAGTTGCTTTTAAAGAGGGGAATTCAGAATTCTGAAAATCTAGACAGTGATGGCAAATATCTAACAAAAACATACTATCAGAACATAAATTAATATAAAAATCAACTCCGCTTCTCCACCCTAAAACTTAAAACAAAGATCTGAAGTCTGAATAAAAATCTCTCTAGGTACATTTTCAGGCTTAGCGGACCTAATACTTAGTGACCCTGGGCAGCAATTAAGAACCATGCAGACATTACCTTTCTGCCCAATCATATCCCATGATCTTCAGCATTTGGAATACTTGCTGAAAATGCTTTTTTTGCCCTTTATCTGTCTTGGGAAAAAAATATTTAAAATAAAAATACAGTAATAATTATACAAAACTAGGTTGGACCTGAATCAAATTAACAGTTTTGACAGACTAAAGTCATTGTCAATCAATATGTTTAATCTAAATATGAAAAGGGGATGCCTATAAAAAAATATCTAAACTGAGTACTCTTAAGAGAGGGAAATAAGGGCCATAGTACTCCATCAAGTCAAGAGGAAATATGAACTTTAATTTTCTGTGATTTCTATTTAAATCTCTCTCTCTCAGCTATTATGATGTTTATTTTCAAGAAGACCAAAGACAAACTTTAAAAAGATGTTTGAGTCAGGCATGGTGGTGCATACTGTAATCCCAGCTACTTTAGGGGCTCAGACAGGAAGATCTCAAGTTTGACATCTGGGCAACATAGCAAGACCCTGTCTCAAAATAAAATTTTAAAAAGTCTGGGGGTGTAGCTCAGTGGTAGAGGGCTTGCCACGGCATGTATAGGGCCTTGGGTTTAGTCCCCAGTAATGAAAAATAAATAAAAAGATGTTTGATGGCAACTTTTTTAATAAAAAGAGAGATTGCACATGAAATGGAAGGAAAGGGGAGAACAAACTAGATAACTCAGTCATTAAAACAAAACAAAACAAAACATTACTGACAAAACAGCTTGGATAAATCTCAAGAACATTCATTATAGTGGGCGAATAAAGCTGATCTCAAAAGGTTACATACTGTATGATTCCATTTATATTACAGGGTTAGGGTTGGAGGAAAACTAACTTTTTGGTGGCAGATCACCAGAAAGTATGCTTTGTGAAAGAAAAATTTCATGTTGTAAATGTGGTGATGGTTACATAAATCTATGCACATGATAAAATTTAATGAAAACCAACTCACAGATGAGAGGTGTAAAAATTGGTGAAATCTGAACAAGGTCTTTACAAATGTCAATGGTAAAATATTACCTTTGGGGATAGGTGGGTGAAAAGTACTGTTTTAAAACTTTTTGTGAGATAAACTATTAGAAAACAAAAAATTCTTTAAAAACAACTGCATTACAGTGCAATTTATTAATTTCACATAACAATTTTCCTGATTTATGCAATGTTTTTACTATAAAGCAATGTGAACTTTTTCATTTTTAAGTTAAAAAAAAATCTTTCTAGGGACTGAGGATATAGTTCAATTGGAGAGTGTTTGCCTTGCATGTACAAGACCCTGGATTCAATCCCCAGCACCATACACACACACACACACACACACACAAAGTCGTTCTAAAATAGAGGTTGCCAGGCTGGGGTTGTAGCTCAGTGATAGAGCTTTGCCTAGCATGTATGAAGCACTGGGTTTGATTCTCAGCACCACATATAAAAAAGGTTGCTACCTTAACTATATTTAATGTTGAATTTTGAGTTTGACAAAATTATTTTTCAGTATTTTTCAACATGGTATATAATTTCTATCTCTGCTCTTTTCATGATGTAGGGGTCATAACCTTTTGATCTTTATTGTGATTACTTACCACATAAATCATTGTATCAAAATTATACTTGTCCATTCGATCTATAGCAGCTGCTATATCTCTGAAAAAATGGCCATAAATTAAGAGTTATATAGATTTAATAATAACTAATTTTACCTATTTAATAACAACAAAACTTTTCTATTTAAGAACTACTATATTATCCAATAGTCCAAAATATAGGATACATGCTTGTATAGTCCTAATACATAAATACTTTTGATACAAAACAGGTTTAAGAAAAGTAGTAATAAGAAAAGCTCTGGAGAAACTAATAAATAAATAAGCAAAGCTCTGAAACAAGTAATAATAAAAACTATAATAGCTACAGGCAAAGTATCTTCTAGGTAAATGTTTACAAAAAAAAAAAACCCTAAGTGTCACATTTATGACAATTAAATAATTTAAATATAGATGATATAGTAGCTAAAGAGGTATCATCTAAGCACTCTTCTACTAGTACTATTAAGGATCTTCAAAATCTTGGACTACTCAGAAGCCATACCTTATAGTGTATATTAAAAGTCCATAAGTCCTTTGATAAAAATTACACCTACCTCTTTTATCTCTAATTAAATACGAAGTATTTACTTTGAACATAGTGTAAAATAATAAAAAGTAAACCATAAACTATAAAAGTATAAGTCCAAGATTATCAAAATGATACTAAAGCTGAATATTAAAACTGTTTTGGTTAATACATAATACTGGAAGGATTGAAAAAAATTCTTAAATCTTTTGAAATGTTGGAAGATTATCATCAGTACCCATCTCATGCACAGAATATGCATTCTCACTAAAGGCAAAAACTGGTTTCTGAGGGGCAAGACAATCTTGTTCTTTATACAGCTTAAATATGCTACAGTATACACAAATATACAGCAGAGCTGTGGCATTAAAAATTCATGAGGGTTGCAGTTAGGTAAACTATAGCTAACAAGATTCTTGAGAGGGATTATGATAATAAAAGGTTGAGAAATACTAGTGAAGAAGATTATTACAAAAATGATGTCACAACCTCATAGTCCCATTAAACTTTTGGTTTTAGCCAAGGACAAAATAAAAGAAACCTCTTGAAACAAAGAATAAAAGAAAATGTAAGAAACAGTTCTAGGTTGAGTTTATAGAAACTGAATTTGAAAGCTGGAAGAAATGCCAGGTGATTTTAGTCCAGGTCTGCCACTTCATAAAGCAGGGAACCATAGCCTGGATAGGGAAGTGATAGTTGTGGTGCCAGAACAAATAATCCATGTCTCAGACCCATGCTCTGTGCTTTTTGCAGTATTCTCCTGCACTTTTCTTTTCTGCTCCAACAACTCCTTTAATTCACATCCTCACATATAGAGGTATTCTATAAGGAACCCAGTATAGCAAAGGGAGAATTATTTCCCCAAAGAAAAAAGAGAAAGTACAGGTGTTAAAGTAAATATATAGAAATATCTAGACATAATGAAAGAGTGAAAAAGATTCCAGATCAGAGTAGCAGTGGGGACTCTGTCATACATCCTCTGTTCCAAGGAATTTTTTTCTTTTTCCCCAAAGTAGTAATATTGAAATTCTAGACCTAATGATAGTCCACAAAAACAGATCAAGATAGTTGTAGTCTTTCAGATATGAATTTTCATTCTGAATGGACATTTCTTTTAACCACTGGTCAAGAGATAATTTGCTGGCACAAAAAAAATTCAAGTAATAGAAACAGATGAATGTTCTAGGGATAATTAAAAGACTGGTTGTTTAAAGTTGTTTGCAATAAATGATTATAGTTACTGCCAATAATAATATGACTTTATGCTTCAAAAGTAGTTTGTGTAGAGGCTGGGGATGTAGCTTAACTGGTATGCATGAAGTTCTACGTTCATCCCCAGGACCGTAAAACAACAACAAAAGTGGTTTGTGACTTAGAATATAAAATTCTTGCCTGGGAGACACTGGAGCCTTTTGCCAGTAGTGCTTGGGTATGGTCATGCTTGCTTGTATGACTATTTATTGTTCTGACTCTTTTTCCTACTAGATTTATCCCCAAAATAATGTTGGGTTTAAACTCAGTTCTTACTGATCATCAGAGAATGTTCCCTTCCCTGAGATGAATCATGGAGATGGGTGAAAAAAAAAAATACACACACACACACACACACACACACACACACACACACAAAAGCAACAGGGCTACATCTCTCTTGGTCTACTTTACCATAATCATAATGAGTTCTGGTATTAATGTCCATATAAAATGATCTTTAATGTATGAGGACAGAACTAAGCTAACTTGGTCACCTTTTAGTACAATTGCCCACCATGTACAATTGTAAAAATACATAGTAGTTGATTATGAAGAAATTCAGTTTTATAGTTTGTAAAACAATGTATTCTAGTGTGGAAATCCTATAGATTTTTGAGGATGAAATGATTATTTTGGCATTGATCCTAGGAAAAGAACACCAAGTCATACATATGTTCCAATGTTTCCCCCTGCAGACGCAACAAACCTGGTTGCATAGAGAGAAGTCCCATCACTTCGCATTACAGTACAAATTGAAGAGGGGTCACCATTCCCAGAGAGATCTACTACAGCTGTTCCTTTTCTAGAAATGCAAAAAAGGCAACTCTGAAACAAATTATAACTTCAAAAAGTACATCTATAACATCACGTCTGGCAAATCAAATAGCAATAAGCCTTTTCAATTCAACCTATAACAAGCAATGGACAAAAAACCAAGAAGTAAGAACTCTGATTGAGAATCTATTAAAAGTGGGCATGGTGGCACATCCCTGTAATCCTAGAGGCTCGGGATGCTGAGGTAGGAGGATCACAAGTTCATAGCCAGCCTCAGCAACTTAGTGAGACCCTATCTTTAAATAAAATGTAAAGAGCTGGGATGTGGCTCAGTGGTTAAGCACCCCTGGGTTCAATTCCTGGTATTAAAAAAAAAAAAAGTGGGTATGACATAATTAATGTTTGGTCATGATACACACACACACATATATATTTCTAAAATTGTTTTCTTTCAGTTGTCAATGGACCTTTATTTTATTTATTTATTTATTTATATGTGGTGTCAAGAATTGAACCCAGTGCCTCACACAAGCTAGGCATGTGCTCTACCACTGAGCTATAACCCCAGTCCATCCTATATTTTTAAAATCTGTAACACTGACTAAGTTACTCAGGTAAAAATTTTAATATGGCTAGTTTAAAAATGAGATTACAACTGAGTTTTAACTATGAAATATCATAAACTCTTTTTCTAATTGGATTTTATACATTAATATTAGACTAACTTTTAACATGCTAGAAAGTATTCCTCAGCATTAAAAACCATAGAATTTTATTGTATTTTTGCTTGACCAAAAATTAAAACTGATTTTTTCTTTTGGCTGTATTGGGGATTGAACACAGGATCTCACATGGGCTAGGCAAACACCTTGTTACATCCTCTGCCCTGGCCTCCCACCTTTTTTTTTTTTTTTTTCAGAAAGGATATCACTAAGTTACCCTGGCTGGTCTCTAGCTTGGAATACTCCTTCCTCAGCCTCCTGAGCAGGTTGATTATGTGTGTGCCACCACACCCAGCTGAAAAACTGGAATTTATATATAACAATTTTAAAATTTTCCTTAAGAGCATTACTGATGATGCTATTGACTACATTTTTCATGTCTTCTTTATAAAGATGACAGGAGAAATTTTGCTTTGGGACTATGAAAAGTGACAATTGTAAGCAACTGGTATGCTTCTGTATTACAGTTGCCTGGGCTCCTGTGATTTGCACTATTTCTCTGCTCAGCTGACAGGAAGCTAAAAGCTAAACTAAAGAGCAATTAGGCAAGCAAATGAAATATAAGCCATCTGAATTGGAAAAGAAGTTAAACAGTCTTTCTTCATAGGAAACAAGATCTTCTATATAGAAAATCCTAAACTGTTCACCAAGAAACTGCTAGAATAAACAAATTTAGTAAAGCTGCGTAATACAAAACTAACTAACAAAACCCAAAAGAATTTCTGTACACCAATAATGAACTAGCTAAAAGTGAAATAAAGAAAAATAATTCCATTTGCAGTAGCATCAACAAATTTAAAATACTTTGGAATAAATTTAAATAAGGTGAAAGATTTGTACAGTGAAAATTATAAAATGATGCAAGAAATTAAGACAAATACCTGAAAAGATAATCTATGTTCACTGATTGGAACAATATTTTTTAAATGTTCAAACTACAGATCTACAGATTCAGTACATTCCTTATCAAAATCCTAACATTTTTCATAGAAAAAAAATCCTAAAATTCCTATGGAAAAACAAAAGATCCCAAATAGCCACAAAACTCTTAAGGAAAAGAGAAAAAAGCTAGAGAAATTACACCAGTCATCTTAAAATCTACTAAAAATTATAGTAACCCAAACAGGATTATACTATTTCAAAAGAGACATATAGACCAGTGGAACAAAACAGAAAGCCTAGATAAAAACCACACATTTATAATCAATTGACCTTCAATAGAGATGCCAGGATTACACAATGGGGAAAGGTCCATCTCATAAATAAATATTATTGGGAAAACTGGATATTTACAAGCCGAATAATGGAGCTGGACCCTTATCTCACCCCATGTACAAAATGATTTAAAGACAAACAAAAGACCTGAAATTATAAAATTATTAGATTTCTTGCTTGTGATCCTAAAAGCCCAGGCAAAAAAAAGTAAAAATAGACAAATGAAACATCAAACTAAAAAGCTTCAATCAACAGAGCTAAGGAAAACAATCAACAGAGTAAAGAGATAATCTACAGAATGGGAGAAAGTATTTGCAAATCATGTATCTGATGAGGGGTTAATATCAGGAATATATAAGGAAAACTCAAATGTCAACAGAAAGAAAACAAATAATATGATTAAAAATGTACAAAGGACTTGTAGAGACAGTTCTCAAAAGAAGACACGAAAGGCTAACAGGTATATGAAAAGGTGCTTGACATCACTAACCATAAGGGAAATGCAAATGAAAACCACAGTGAGTGCTCATCGACCTCTTAGAGCAGTTTTTATCAAAACAAAAAACAAGTGTTGGTAAGGATGTGGACAAAAGAAATCCTTATATAATGCTGGTAGGATTATAAATTAGTACGTTACTATGGAAAACAATATGGTGGTTCTTTAAAAAAATTTTACAGGCAGAATTACACTATGATCCATTATGATCCACTATGATCTTATTTTTGGGTACACATCCAAAGGAAATGAAATCAGTATGTTGAAGGGATATCTGCACTGTCACATTCACTGCAGCTTTATCCATTATAGCCAAGATATGTAGTCAACCCAAGTTGTTTGCTAACAGGAGATGGATATAAGAAATGTGGCATATATATACACACACCATGGAAAACTATCCAGCCTTAAAAGAAAACCTTGTCATTTTGACAACATGGATAAGTCTGAAGAAAATCATGCTCAGAGAAATAAGCCAAACACAGAAAAACAAACTTATATGATCTCACCTATATGTGAAATCTAAAAGAATCTAACTCAGAAGCAGAGTATACCAGGGATAGGGAATGAGATGTTAAAGGGTACAAAGTTGCAGTCAGACAGGAAGAAGGATCTGGAGATCTATTATATGGTGACTATAATTAATAATAATGTATAATAAACTGAAAATTGCTAAGAGAATAGATTTTAAATGTCATCACAGCTGTGAGAGATGATTTTCAGAGAGTTCATTCTCATCACAGTCAAGTATGTTAACTAGCTTAAATTTAGACACTCAACAATGTATACATACATTAAGACATACATATACCATAAGTACATGCAATTTCTCTTTTGTCAATTAAAAATGATTTTTTAAAAATAAAATGATTCTACATAATATATTAAATATATACAAGAAAACAATACCAGTAGGGATGCACTAACAATACCTCTGACTTTATTTCCTACCCTACTACCTGATTTGTTCACTTTTACTCCTTAAATCCAAGCTTCCTTAAACCTTTTTTGAAAAGGATAGAGTTTTTTTTAAAAAAGATAAGGTTGAGTCTTAAGAAGTAGTTCTACTTCCTTTTAAAGTTACATCTTATCAGTTTGTGTGACTCAAGGCAGTTCACTTACATTTTCTGTGTTTCAGTTCCCTCTCATATAAAGAACAGATAATACCTTTTCTCCCACCCTTACCAGACTTTTGCTGACAGCAAAAGCATGTGGCAAAGTACTTTAAACAGAAAAAGAAAGAAAGAAAAAAAAAAAAAGCACTATGAGAAAAAGCCAGAACGGCTGCACCATGCATTTTGTTATTCTTATTGAAAGAATACAGCAACACCAATTTCAAAAAATGCGTAACTAAAAAAATCATAACCTGATCTTACATCGTTTTCTGTAGGAGTCCTTTACTTTCCAGCAACTTTAAGACTTCTTGAGATTTTTCACGATAAAATGATTCTCCTGAGTATTCATCAAAGTATATTCCTAAACGCTAAAAGGGTTCAGAAAGAAAACAAACAAAATGTTAGTTAAATCTCCAATTATCTTACAGTAAAACAAAATTAAGGAGGTTTTACAATCTGTAATGTAGATGGGAAAAGTAAAAATTAGCTCAAGTTACTCCTATTAAAAAGAACAATTTTTTTTGTTTGTTTGTTTTTTTTTGGTCCCAGGGCACTTAACCACTGAGCCACATCCCCAATTCCCTGGCCCTTTTTATATTTTACTTTGAGACAGGGTCTCAATAAGTTGCTTAAGGCCTCCCTAAGTTACTGAGGCTTGCCTTAAACTTGCAATTCTCCTGCCTTAGGCCCCCAAGCTGCTGGGATTACAGGCCTGCGCTACTACACAGGTCAAGTCCTCACAATGATACTGTGCTATTCAATATAAATTGGAATTAAGTAAAATAGAATTTACTTTCTTAGTTGTACTACTCATCCTTCAAGGGCTGAAACGTGACATGTGGTTAGCAGTTACCATAATGGACATCACAGATACAGAATACTTCTATCATAGCAGAAAGCCATACTATATAGCCCTGGAGAATGGCCCACATAACATCCCACCCTTCATCCTCTTTGATTTCCTTTCCTACTGTTCTTTTTTTTTTTTTTTTTAATATTTATTTATTTTTTAGTTCTCGGCGGACACAACATCTTTGTTTGTGTGTGGTGCTGAGGATTGAACCCGGGCTGCACGCATGCCAGGTGAGTGCGCTACCGCTTGAGCCACATCCCCAGCCCCTCCTACTGTTCTTTATCTTGCTTATTTACTTCAAATAAGTAGACTTCTTACAAAATCTTTCCTCACACTAGTCACAGAACATATATGATTGATCTTACCACCTAACACCATCTAACAGACTATATATATTTCTTGTTTACTTCACTCTAACTTGTTTTGCTCCATGCTACAATGTAAGGTCCATGACAGCAAAAATTTTTCTCTTTTATTCATTGTTGAATACCTTCCCTAGCAAATGTTTATTAAATGAATGAATTTATAACCATCATATACAGGCCTAAGGAGGTAAAAGAAGAAAAAATTAAGTGAAGGCATGATAAGAGAGAGGATAGGAAAACCAGACTGAAAAGAAGTATTAGAAAGTCATCTGGCATCACCTCAGGATTATTTTGTAGCTTGAACTCCCAGCCCAAAGAACAACATTAGAGTCCTCATTTCCAACTCAACCAGAAATCTATTCTTAAATATGAGCTTAAGCAGCAGCTTCATTAAGCAATAGTGCCAGTGAGTTGTACCATATCACAGAAGGGTTCAGGGGGCAAACAGGTACCTGGTAAATCCGAATGTACTCTTCAATGCTCAAGTCCCGAAATCTTTGCCACAGTGAAAGTGCTTGGATGTCACCCAGTTCTAATCGTTGGAAGAATTCATGGGCCAATTTTGCTATATTTTTATTGTCTGCTGCTTCTTTATTAACTTGTACATAAACCTAAAAGTATAACAGTATGTTAAGTGAAGTTCATTACCAGATATTATTATCTCCAGTGAAAAGAAGAAAGCAAAGCACAATTCAGAGATTTCTCAGTTCTTACTGTCCTCATAAKAGAGGGTAACATTTTTTCTTCTTTTAGCCATAGGCCCTTAATAAAGCCTATAAACCTCTTCTCAAAATGTTTCTAAATGTTGGCCAGATATGGAGGTACACACATATAATCCCAGCAACTCAGGAGACTGAGACAGGAGGATTGCAAGTTCAAGGCTAGCCTCAGCAACTTAGTAAGGCTCTTTCTCAAAATAAAAATAAAAAGGGCTGTCAATGTGGCTTAGTGGTTAAGTATCCCTAGATTCAATCCTGGATAGACAAAACAAAAATGAACAAACAAAAAAAGTTTCTAAATGCAAAAAATTCATGGAGTTACAAAGGAAAAATTACATTAAAATGCACTTAACAAAATAATTTTTAAAAATTTGTGATACAGTAATGGAAGAAAATGCCCATTTCTTATAGATAGTGAAAAAGCCAAAGTGAAACTTTTTCTTCCCACCCATATTCAGAGGCCCCTGGGTGAAGAAAGTCTGGTTTACAATGAAGCTCACTATTATGTGTAATTATGCACCACTACCACCACAACCCTGGTTTAGAGTAAGTCATTTCCTGTCTCCTACCTACAAAATGCTGATTTATTTATTTATTTGGTACCCGGAATTGAACCCTGGGGTGCTTTACCACTAAGTTATTTATTTTATTTTGATCTAGGGTGCTAAATTGCCTCAACACAATTCCCAATATTGCAAAAAAAGGAGACAAATTGTTTTCTTAGAGAACTGCAAGTTGAGTCAAATTCTGAATGTTAAGAGAAATATTAAAGAAATTTATTAACTAAAACTTATCAATAAAGTCAAAACTTGCTAGGTAAGAAAAATTCACATGAACTAATTAATTCATCAGTCATCAAATTTCTTCTCCTTAATACATTTTTAGTAGTGTATGAATAGTATTTTTAACTCTATTTATCCTCTTTTAACGTTTGGAATCTCTTTATTTGGTGTACATATATATATAATTCACATCTATTATGTCTTTTATCTTTATTCAAGAGTGATAATTATTAACTCCTTATAGATCAATATAAACTAGTACCTAATAAACATACTTTTTATGTTGAAAAAGTCTTTTTTTTTTTTTTATACTTCAGTGGGTAGAGGTATTTACTAAGCTACTAATGTATATTTTGTTCTTGCTAGGTGTTTTCAACCTTATTCTATGTAGAGGACTCAGGACACTGAGATAGTCTGAAGAAGCAGGGGTAGGGTAGAAAGGTGTGGCTCTGGGGAGAAAGCCGGGAAAGAGGAAAAAAGAATTATCTAGACTGGGCAGAGGATGGGGAACACTTCCAGGAGTAGCCAAAGCTGGGAAGTCCCTGGGTGATGGCAGGCCCTCAGAGGAAAATGGTTCCCAGTTTGCCTACACAGAGAGGCTAGCCTTTAGGCCAGTAGACCTGGAGCAGAGCTGTGATCTCCCAGATGAACTCTGCCACACCAATAAAGTTGTGTGCCTCCAAGGCATCACACAGACTGGGGATGCTAAGCTTATCAGAGATCAGTTCGGACTGAATGCAAAAATAGTCCTCTATGACGGTCCTAGGATGCACAGTAGAGTCTAGGGAACTTTGTGTGATCTAGGAGGCTGGGAGTCCCTAATAATGACTTAAATTGACTCAAACTACTCTTAAAAGTGATAACTAGGCTCAGATTATATGAATGTTACTAAGGGGTAACATCCATGCTAACCCTAACAACAAAAAAGAAACTTTGAACTTTTGAACATATATATTTTACAGAATAAGAACTTCTAACTGCATAAGTATTCCCATGACAAAAATCAACTTAGTCTTAAATAAATAATTTTCTTTACCTGAGCTTGAAAATCGTTTTGAAAGTCTAATATTACGTAGAAAATATTGTCTCTTGAAGAATAGATTCTACTTCCATGTTTTTAAAAGCAAGAGCAAGTAAACATTCTAATTAATCAAATTAGTGCTTTGATCTTGCACAATCTTTCTACTTGCCACTATTTTTTCTTGGCTAATCATATAGGAAACTCAGGATCAGATCAGTTAATACAATATTATTAGTGATGCATTATCCTCCAATGTTCTAGTTTTCTTTACTAAATGCATATCACTGCAATTACCTCAAATCCTTTTAGAAAAGGGCAGGGGAGACATAATGATACAGAATGTGTGGGGATCAGTTTGAACTTGGGAAAAATTTATACTATTTGTGCATACTAGAATACTGAACACACTTTATTGGTATGATATTTATCACTTACAAGAGGTTGTACTTATTTCAGAGGAATTTTTCTATGATCATCAAAATCCATATGAATAAACAACAAGCTAAATTCTCAAACCTTCTTAAAAAGATCGATCTATCTATGTTTTTTTTTTTTTTTTTTTGCACTGGGGATTGAACCCTGGGGTGCTTAACCACAGAGCTAAGTTTCCAGTCCTTTTTAAAAAATTTTTTAGTTGTTGAGGGGCCCTTGTTTTATTCAATTATTTATATGTGGTGCTGAGAATTGAACCCAGTGCTTCACACATGCTAGGCAAGCGCTATGCCACTGAGCCATAACCCCAGCCCTTCTCTCTCCCAGTCCTTTTAATTTTTTTTTTTTTTTTTTTTTAATTTTTAGACAGGGTCTCTCTAAGTTGCTGAGGCAGGCCTTGAACTTGTGATCTTCCTGCCTCAGCCTCCAGAAGTTGCTGGCACTACAAGTACCATCACGACAGGCAGATTACATATTCTTAAAGGTACCATGTTGGGAGTTATCAAATAGATTCTATCTAAAAAGAAAATGAGAAATGAATTTAAAGAAGTATTATTAAAACATAAAATGACATATCAATGACCCAGATTTAATACAAGTTAACTTTTCACCATAAGAAATTACTCTATGATAAAAATAAAAAGGCTTTTTGACAAGTGTTCCAAACTTTATGACTAGTGTGAATTTTAAGTAACAAATAAGTTATTTATCATCAGCCAATTCAAGGTGGATATGGGAACTGTTACAAATTTACTTTCCTGTTTCATAACAAAAATAAACAAATTAAAGACAATGTTTCAAATGCTGATCAACAAAAGCCCTGATTCTCTGTACAACACAGATGTCTGGTGAAAATAATGCAGTACAGGTAAAGAGAAAACCAGCAGTGAAACATTGGTACCAAAATGGAAATACAGTAAAGAAATGACTGAGTATTAAAAATACTCACCACAGAAAGAAATGCTAAATCTATTGTATAATATTATGTCTAATCTAGGAGAGAACCTGAAACTGGGGGATACTGATCATGGCACAATTTAGAGGAAGCTAGTCTACAAAATCTGCTAGTGTTATTCTGTTCCTAAAGGAAAATCTGAAAGGTATATAACAACATTAGAGTCTAGGGAACTTTATTAGGTAGAAAATATTTGCTAATTGAAGGGCCCCCTTCAGTGTCTCCTGTGGCATAGATAGTAACACAAAGTATCCCCATCTACATCTTAGATGATCAGAGTCAGGGATAGTGATTCTAACCTTGGTTTCTGGTGTACTGGTAAATTATGTCAGTAGTAGTTAAGCCAAATTCAGCACAAATAAACCAGAAGGTTTAAACTACCAAAACTGAAGTGCTAACTGTGTCCCTGGAACACTACTAGAGGATGAAAGAAAGGAAAATTCTATTTTTGTAATGCAACCAAAGAAAAGATCTGGGTCTGGTCCTTCAGTTCATTAGTGAACTGAAAACAATTAACAAAGTATGCTAGATTCTAATACATAGTAATTAGTGTATCCTATAATAATAATAATTGTTAATCTCTGGATTAACAATTAGGTTTTGTATTGCACAACAGAAATAAAAACAAGGAAAGGAGAAAAAGAACTATGAGATAAAATCCATTCAAACATTTATTGCAAGGCATTGTGTCTGGGGCTGGGGGTAAAATATCAGGAAGAGCTGAGATTGTGGCTCAGCGGCAGAGCACTTGCCTCGCTTGTGTGAGGCACTGTGTTCGATCCTCAATATCATATAAAAATAAATAAACAAAATTTAAAAAAAAGATCAGGAAGACATGGATATTCCTCTCAAAGAGTTCATGACTAACTACAATTTGACAAGGATGAAAAAGTGGTTCAACTAAAGGTTTGAGAAAGCAGATATTCACAAATAAGAAAGGGTAAATGTAGACTGACCTAAAAGTTTACTTCCCATAAGCTACTACTGACATAATTTACCAACAGACTAGAAACCAAGGTTAGAATCACTATCCTTGACTCTGATCATCTGAGATGCAGATGGGGATACTTTGTGTTAGTATCTATGCCAGAGGAGACACTGAAGGGGGCCTTTCAATTAGCAAATAAACACAGTTGTTATATGACTTTCAGATTTTCCTTTAGGAACAGAATAATATTCTTTAATATTTGCTTAAAGCTTAAAAAAAAAACCACCATAAAGAAAAAGAAAAATGTCCTTATTACCCTGAAAGTCGATAATGAAAGATTTCCACAGTTGACAACTAATTCGTAAATGAAAACTGGATCTGCAAAAATTAGCATATATGTAATAGCCTGGAAGTGCTATTATAGGCTCTGCATGTTCTCTGTACTGGAGGAGAACAGGTGAGTGTTCTCATAAGTGTATTTGCTTAATTCCCAATAGCAAGATGGTGTCTACCTCAATTGCCTTTTATCGTCTGTAAAACACTGATCCCTGATTCTATTAGGCACAAGACGAATAATGAAAGCAACATCAATGTTCCTTGAGATTTTAGTTGTTCACAGGAAAAGTCCTGCCCTTATAAGAGTATAGATCAACTAATAACCTCTAACATAGGTGCCAATCTCCCAATATTTTTATTGTTTGGGTACTAGGGATTGAACTCAGGGGCACTTGACCACTGAGCCACATCCTCAGCCCTATTTTGTATTTTATTTAGAGACAGGGTCTCACTAAGTTGCTTGGCACCTCGTTTTTGCTGAGGCTGGCTTTGAACTTGTGATCCTTCTGCCTCGGCTTCCCAAGCCACTGGGATTACAGGCATGTGCCACTGTGCCCGGCTAATCTCCCACTATTTTTATGAATCTCAAAAGGCAGAAAACATACTAAGCAGCATAAAAAGAAACATGCTTATGCTTCTTTGGAGTTTGAGAATAGATATGACTAAAATATTTAAAATATTACAGGCTGGACTCGGCATTCAGCGCGCAGTAGTATGGCGGCCTGTGCGGGGATGTCTGGTGGGAGCTCTCTGCCTTGGCCTCGAGTGTTGCTTTTCGGGGACTCCATCACTCAGAAGATGTGATGTTCTGAATCGTGGATTTTCAGGTTACAACACCAGATGGGCCAAAATTATTCTTCCATGACTAATCAGGAAAGGAAACAATTTGGACAACCCAGTAGTAGTTAACTAAGTCTACTGGGAGATGGAGACCATTAGTCAATTCTAGGAAATGCAAGTCTGGTTGTTAATTTATAGATTGAAGTTGGTGATTATAACATATAGATTCCAAGGCAATTGAGTGCAGAATATTTTTTTCTCAAGCTTAAAATTCCCCCTCACTATGCTGGACCAAAACACCAATATTTTTTGCCACTAATGTTTATAATAAAAGTTTTGAGATTCTTCAGGGAAAAAATAAATAAAATAAAATAAAATATTATAGGAAAAAAAGGCTTACTATTTGCAGGATTAAATACAAACTTCAAGTTGGGTTAGGAAAGAGATTTAAGGAGTAACTTTCAGGTGTCAGACTCTACTATAAATCTATAATACAAGGTCTCCAAGCAAATATTTGTATATTTTTGTGCCATGCAGTATCTCTATGGGCCTGGATTTGATAAAAGGTTTGCTAAACTTATGGTAAAAAATACCATTATTCAAATGCTAAAATCATAAAGTAGTAAAAATTCCAGGCACTTTATTTATAGATAACCAAGAATCATTAATTTTTAAAAAAAATTTTTTAGTTGTCAATGGACCTTTTTTATTTATTTATTTTTATGTGGTGCTGAGACTTGAACCCAGTGCCTCACACATTCTAGGCAAGCACTCTGCCACTGAGCCACAACCTCAAGCCCAAGAATTATTAATTTTTAAATTCTTGTCTATCAACAAAATTTTTAAAGGGAAAGAGAAATCTAGTTAATATAAATCAAAATGTATACATTTAAAGTATAGTGAGGGCATGGACTCAYGAGAAAATGACAAACCTTTAAAGGTCTTTTAGAAGTAGAATTTGTTCAATTATAATGGCAAAGCCAGCTGCAAAAGAAAATCATATAATGAAAAGGAAAATGAAAAACTGCTCTTGATGGCTCTGTCTGGGAAGTATAGTATTATTTTGGCAAATGCTCTTCCTGATGCACAGGCAGAACATCTTTTGATCTGACTCCCTGGTATGTCACATTGGCTGGCACTGTATCTGTGTTTTCTTGGTGAGGTCCAGAAACAGCAGAGAGAGCAATTGGGACAATGCAAAAGAAACTCATCCATGGAAATTACTCAGAGAGGAAGAGGTTTACTAATGAACTCCAGGAAAGATGGAAGCTAGAAGACAGAGAAATAAAGTATCAAGAGGACTAAATGAAGAATAGAAAGGAGTTTACATTGGGTAAAGAGTCAGGAAAATGAACTGGATGACAAAGGAAAAAAGTATACACAAATTCAGAGGGAAACACATGTGCCTTTCTCTACACTAAAAAAAAAAAAAACCAAAAAAAACCCCCACAAAACAACAAAACCAGAAACATTCATGTGTTACAAGTCTAAATGAATGACACTTATTACTACTATTAGAAAGCTGCAATACATCAACTGACAGAAAACAGAGAAATTTCTCAGTGTCTAATCTGCTATATCCTATGTGTTTATTCTAAGAAGATTCTATATCTGGGAAATAATGTCTCTGATCAACTAAAAAAGTAATAACAGAAACACTTGGATTTGGAAATGAAATGAACAAGCTAGAAATATGAAAGCAATACTTTTGATTTTTTGTTCCTTATTTTAAGGAACATATTTCTAAACCTCTAGGATCAAACTGGCTACCAAATTGCACAGAACTTTGATGCATTTTCTAAAATGGCTTCTTGCCAACTTACTTCAAAGAGATGCTGCAAAGGATTGGACTGGAGTTTTTCTTCATAGCCAAACAGTTGGAAGCCTGTTCCCAGAAGACCTACCATGATAATCCATAAATGAAAAATTATAAAATGGAACAGTAGAGAATAGTTGTGGCAGGAAAAGGGCAGTTGTATAAGATCAACATCTCATATTTATGTACCCTGAGAACTATTGCAAAATACATTTTCAACCTTCTGTTATCCTGTAAATGGATACTTAAATTCAATATATTGAATGACATAGGCAATACTGTATAATAAATAGATCACTGATATTACTTCACAGAAACCAAGACTATGAACTCAAAGGCAGGGTCTATAACTATTTTCATCTTTGTATTAACAGTGTTCAACAACTCCCTAGCAGACAATAAGAAACATTTATTGAGCAGTTACTCTGAGATGCTAGACACTCAAAATTTGTGAAAACAAACAGATGGGAAATGATTTAAAACTTTTTTTGAACTTGTAGGTGTGAAAGTAACACACAAAAGTAGTAACGGGCTTGGTGTTATAATATTAGTCCCCCAGCCCAGGTAATAGACATTAAACTTAGTTGCATTCTGCCGTTAAGCTATATCCCCCCCCACCGCCTTATTTGTTTATTTATTTATACATACATACACATACATATACAGGTAATTTAACCCAGGAGTGCTTTAGCACTGAAGTACACTCCCAACCCTTTTTATTTTAAGACAGGATCTCACTAAACTTAGGGCCTCACTAAGTTGCTGAGGTGACCTCAAACTTGCAATCTTCCTGCCTCTGCCTCCCTTAATATTAGTTTTTAAATTGAAGAAAACCAAAAAAGATAAAATTCAAAACATATCTGATTACTTCTTCCATTCATAGTAGCTAAATGACAAATTCTTTTATTTAAACACACATATTTTTTTTCAGTCTTTGATGATAAGTTAAGGGTTCAGGAATAGTGCTATTCTGAATTTTTTTTAATACTAAATAAGGTTTGCAAACCAGGAATGGAAATTCCCATGTGGACTGTGAATATATATATATATATNATGCATCTGCTAGGGCATTTTACTCTCCTCAGAACACTTCCTGGGTCTGACTGGTGGCCTGGGGAGCTGTCAGAGAAGAGCAGAGCATACAGCCCTTACTGGTTGGGTGAGAAGGCATCTATTCCTATTACTAGGTGAACACAAAATTTCAGCTATGCTCTAAAGCTTGCTGCTTGAGTTGATTCCTTGATCATGGCCTGCAGTAGGATATAATGTTGGTCTCAAATCAGTGAGGGGACAAACCAGAGATGAGCACATAATGGTTTTTAACAATAATTGTGAATTTATAATTCTGTCAATGTTTTCTTTGATTATACACAATAGGTACAAAAATATAGAAATGGAGGGCTGGACTGGAAATCCAACTTCTTCAGTTTCTGGTCTTATTAAATGGTTTATAAGCAAAAGAGGCTCTTTTTTTTTTTTTTTTAAGAGAGAGTGAGAGAGGAGAGAGAGAATTTTTAATATTTATTTTTTAGTTCTCGGCGGACACAACATCTTTGTTGGTATGTGGTGCTGAGGATTGAACCTGGGTCGCACGCATGCCAGGCGAGCGCGCTACCCCTTGAGCCATATCCCCAGCCCGAACATATATATTTTTAAGAGATTTTTGGGCTAGGGTTGTAGCTAAGTGGTGGAGTGATTGCCTCACATGCATGAGGCACTGGGTTCAAAATTCAGCACCACATAAAAATAAATAAATAAAATAAAAGTATTGTGTCCATCTACAACTAAAGATATTTAAAAAGAAGAGATTCAGCCAGGCGTGGTGGTGAATGCCTGTAATCCCAGAGGCTCAGGAGACTGAGGCAGGAGGATCACAAGTTCAAAGTCAGCCTCAGGAATTTAGGCGAGGCCCCAAACAACTCAGGGAGACCCTATCTCTAAATAAAATACAAAATAGGGCTGGGGATGTGGCTGAGTGGTTCAGTACCCCCTGAGTTCAATCCCTAGTACCAAAACAAAGAAAGAAACAAACAAACAAAAAGAGATTCTTAAGAGGTTTTAATATAAAATAATTTCAGTTTGAAAGGACATATGTAGCCTGAGCTAAGAGAAATATGTAGTTTATTATTTTGAAAGTCAATCTGTTTCTACAACCATGTCAATTACAAAACTTCAGAAATAAAGGGCCTTGCTGAAGTACATTTTTCAGGCTCAGAAGAATGTGTAATGCTACTAAACATGGTTATATATAATGCCTTTGGAACTTAGAAATAATAACTAAAGATCTATTCACTTACAAGCAAAAAAAAAGGGGGGGGTGGGGAGCAGGGCATGGAACAATGAGTAGTGTGTTCTACAAAAGCAGAAATGGGAATAAGTAAAGGCCATTCCATTTAACATTCAATCTAATCATGTTTAAAAACTAATTCTGCTCTCAGGAGCCATCTGCCAACTTTCAAACGGGGATAGCTGAAACAGCAAAATTTTAACTCCTGAACAATGATGGTTATAATGGAAATGTTGACAGATCATTAACCACAGTAGTCCTTCAGAGAAAAACCACTATAATAAAATCCTGCAGCTAAAATTTAATGAAAACCATAATCACATATTTGCTAATGACTGTGAAATGCCTAAATCAGTTAAACTAATATAATGCGGATACCATCTATTAGTCTGACTGTTGAGCCTCAGGCCTAAACCTTTTACTACCAGCTGTTGTGAACTGCAGGTGCATTTTCAAAATCCAGGGCATTTTTCCTGATTCCTTCATAGTGATATTAGGGGTACTATTAACAGAGTCAACCCGTTCTAGTATCTGAAAAAGATTTTTATTACCTAAAGGATAATATTCATAAGAGAAGATCATGATAAATCTATGAAAATATTTCTTCAAATGAACTAGACTTTCTTTTAGAAACTATGAATTTATTTCACTGGATGTGGAACATAAGAGTATCAGTGAATTTCAGAACTGGCAACATGCATTGCATACTTTCATAGAAGTGTTAAAATATTACCTAGTTTTTTTTTTTATTAGTATTGTAAAACACTTCCCAGGAGTTTCGTTCATCATTCTGAGTGCCTCTTATTTACCAAACATTACAGATACAAAAGTAATTAAGACACAGTCCACACTTTCACAGAACTTATCTAGCAGGGGAGAGAGGCCCACAAAAGAATGCAATAAAACAAAAGACTATATGAGTGGTGCTGGCAGGCAAGGGTGTGTCTGCACAACAGAGAATGCTTTACAGATGTGGACAATATGGCTGCATCTTAAAAACATGAAAAGTTTGTATTCACATGCTACCATCTCCTCACTACTGCTACCATACATCTTCACTAATCTTGCCCTCCCCCAGGATGACTGGTTTATATGAACTAGGAATAGTTCCTAGTTAACTGGCAAGAAGAAAGACAATTTGTGGTGCTTAACTGTTTGGGCTTTTTTCCTTTTGACTTCCATCCACTATCACTGTATAGTTACTACAACCAGCCTTATTTGTTTATCTATTAGTTTAGTTTTGGGGAAGCCAAAGTATCACACTTTTTCTTCTAGGTCATTTGTCCATGGTAATAACAGATCCCATTTCATGTGGGCTAGACCTCACTAGATTTATTAAAAAAACAGGAATGTGGTTGAGAAGTGTATATAGCTAGATTTATTTCTGCCCTCACCAATAAATGTATGCTATTTTTCTTTATTAAAACACTGATGGTGGGCTGGGGATGTGGCTCAAGCGGTAGCGCGCTCGCCTGGCATGCGTGCGGCCCGGGTTCGATCCTCAGCACCACATACCAACAAAGATGTTGTGTCCGCCGAGAACTAAAAAATTAAAAAAAAAAAAAAAACAAAAAACACTGATGGTGGAATGTGATGATCATTATCCAGAGTACATGTATGAAGACATGTGGTGTGAATATACTTTGGATACAACCAGAGATATGAAAAATTGTGCTCTATATGTGTAATAAGAATTATAATACATTCTGCTGTCATATATAAACAAAACAAAATAAACAAACAAAAACTCCTATCTACTTCCCTACCTCAGGTCTTGCTCTAATTGTGAAGTTTCCTTCCCAAAACATGTGTGGTGAGAATTAAGTCTTAATAAATAAAATAAGATTATGGGCTAGGGATATAACTTAATGGTAGAACATGTGCTACACATATCTGAGGCCCTGGGTTTGATACTTAGCACCACAAAAACAATGTAAGAAACCACACAGTGCACACTATTGCATGCAGTGAGATTGTGCCAATAATCTGTTCAGATGAAAAAATGATGAGATATTTTAAAAATTAAACTTTAAAATGAAATGAAAAAAAAATCTCAAATGCACTTACCGAATTGCATACCCCAGTCTCCAAGGTAGTTTATTCTTGTTACTTGATGTCCTAAAGCTTCTTTGAGATTTGCTATAAAATTTCCTAGTAATCAGTAAAAAATATAGTTTCTTATTTTTGTTACTAATTTTGGCTTAAGAACTATATCTTCTCTATTGTCAAAGTATAACAAAAAAATTCTTTTCATAAAATTTGCCAACTCAATCTTTTTCATTAAAAAAATATTGTTTTCATCTATGCTATGAAAGGAAGTAAGGAATTACTTTTAAAAGGAAAGTAATTTTTCAAAGAATCTCACCATTTTTACAAGAACAGACTTTTTTCCTTCTTCTTCTTTGAACCCAGAGGCGCTTTAATGTTGACCTGCATACCCACCCCTTTTTACTGTTTTTTTTTTTTTTTTTTTCCTCTTTTTAGGTACTGGGGATGAAATTCAGGGGCACTCGACTACTGAGCCACATACCCAGCTCTATTTTGTATTTTTTAAATTTACAGACAGGGTCTGAGTTGTTTATTGCCACACTTTTGCTGGCTTTGAACTCTCAATCCTCCTGCCTCAGCTTCTCAAGCCAATAGGATTATAGGCATGCTCCATTATGCCCAGCTTTACATTTTATTTTGAGAAAGGGTCTTATGAAGTTGTTTGAGGCTGGCCATGAACTGCCTTAGCCTCCTGAGTTAGTGGGATTACAGGCATGCCCCACTATGTCCAGCTAAGAACAGACTTTTCAACAATGTTACTAATGTAGATTGGGACACATATTAGAATAACTGCTATTCCTAGTCAATTCCAAGAATAGAAAAATAACAGAATTTTAGTGATTAACAAGAAATAAATAATTTGGCCAGGCACAGTGGTGCTAGCCCATAATACCAGTGACTGGGAAGGCAGAGGCAGGAGGATCCCAAGTTTGAGGCCAGCCTCAGCAAGTTAGCAAGGCCCTAAAAAACTTAGCAAGACCCTGTCTCAAAATAATAAAAAGGGCTGGGGATGTAGCTCAGTGGTAAAGTGCCTGTGGGTTCAATATTGACAAAAGAAAAAGAAATATATTATTTGATTATACCCTAAGAACATGGGGAATAAATATTCTTTTTTTCTAAATAGCTTTTTCAATATCTTTCAATCACTAAAGTCCATCCTCTGCATCCTTAACAGTATGCAGTAGTCCAAGACTTTTACCTTCATGTACTGCTGATGTGGTTTGATGAGACTCAACATCTGTTTAACTCTCCCTTTGGTATGCCCTTATGTACTGAAGAGGCTAGAAACCTTTTTTTTTTTTTTTAAGTGTATTTCCCAGATTTTTTTGTGGTAGGGTTCCAGAAATCCTCTAGGTTTGGGTAATCAAACAGACTTTGCATGAGATTTAGAAGGGGAATGAATTACTTCTATTTTTTTCTGACAAGCACAGTTATAGGTTTTGTTTTTTTGTGGCACCACTAACAGAAGTGCTAGTGTACTCTCGTGACATTTAAGGGAGTTGAAAGAAAGGCTATAGGGTTGTTTCTTTTGCCTATATGTATTTTAGAAAACATGACACGAGCAGTAGCAGTCTTTCAATTGTGACCATGTCAGTATACTTCTATTTTCTACTCTCTCCAGTCCTGAAGATTGAATCCTGGGGTTGTTCTAACATCAACATACACCCCAGCATGCATCTCCCCATCCTCTGCAAACACTGTTTAATTTTTTGGGACAGGGTCTCACTATACTGCTGAGGCTGGCTTCATACTTGCATCCTTCTGCCTCAGCCTCCCAAGTCACTGGGTTTACAAGTGTGTGCCACCACTCTGGTGAGTCTAGAGCAGTAGAAGTAACAGCAGAAGAGCTAGGAGCCCCCTTAATAATCAACCCCGATGATGTAATTATGAGCTCCATTTTTGTCGGCTCAATCAAAAGCTTATTCAGCTCTCCTAACAACTTTGTAAACCACTCAATATCACATAATAAATCCTTTCCTGATTTAAGTTAAGAGTCAATTTTGTTTTCTGCAAATAAACCTTCACTGATACATGTGCCTGACTTAAATTACTACAGCTATTGTCTTTGGCAACTTCTCTATTTCTAGACCATCCAAATCTACATAGTCCCAGCAACAAGAACCCACTTCTTCAGCTACAACTCAGATAATGTCTATTTTGCTACTATCTTATCTATATGTTATCTTCTATATTCAATTAAATGTCTACACCTAGGCTTTTGGAATTAGACAAATTTTAAGTCCTGGCTACAATACTTACTAGCCATGTGATCTTGGGAAAGTTACTTTTGGTATTTAAGTTTCTTGATCCATAAACCAGATTAACAGTACTTTCACACCAGGGTTGCTGTGACATAAAGTGAGGTAATACATGAAAACACTTGGAATTTGGAATGGTAAGTTCTCAATAAGTAATACCTCTTCTTGGTTCAAATATTTTCTTTAACTATTAAAAAAACTTTACTGTATTCCTCTCTTAAAATGCTGCTCAAAAACTCAATGAGAGTTGACCCTATATCAATGATACTCTATGACATACGTATTAATTCCACCAATTTTTAAAAGTATTCAAGTATGAGTTAAGTGACTCTCTTGAGCATGCAATAGATTTCTACTCTGGAAGAGAGATTAGATGAGATAGACTTTAAAGTGCTTTCCATTTCTAATATAATATAAAACTCTAAGTTTTAAATTGGACTTCTGCAAAATGTAATGCTTTAAATAAATAAAACCATATTATACACTGAAGCATTACGCTATGCAGTATTATGGTAATCTCTGTTTAGAATAGTCCTGTTTTAACTTCCTGTCTTGCATATTTCAGTTAGTGCTCACTTTACTGAGATTTTCTTTCTTAAATATATGAAGAGAAAAATCTGGAGGATTACTATCATTCCCACATAACTATTTTTATTTTGCATTTTTCAGTTCTCCATATGCACACACATTTTTTAAAAGTTAAAATCATAACATAGATGCCAGTTAAAAACAATTTCTAAGTTAATCTTTGGTTTTGAAATTATTTTTTAAATTTCTAAACCAATTCTTCCCATTTCATGTAATATTTAAGTTGCATTAGGCTCATACTGATTTAAATTTTTCTGTCCCCCCTTTTCATTTATCATTAAACCATTACTATGTATTTACATATATTTTCCCAAAGGCATGTTTGGTATTTTATGTGAAAGTAAGCACTTACCTATGATGGTGGAACGCAAATGTCCAACATGAAATTTTTTGGCAACATTAGGCGAACTGCAAATAATTGCAAAAATTATTATTTTTTTAATTCTAAGAAAAAGAGTTCTATGAATTAATTAGGTCATGCTTCCATAAATTGACATAATTAGGTACTAGGGACTCTGGCAATTTAGGGCAGAGAAAAGGTAAAAATTAGACATGTAAAGATAAATTCGAATTCAGAAAGAATCATCTTAGTGACATTGATACTATGGTTCATGAATTAATAGAACACACAGAAATAGCTCACCTATAAAGCAGATATATTTAAGGATTGATTTAAAAGACTAAGTTTAGAGATAGTTTTGATTAACAAACAATACAGAGCACTGGGAATTGAGTTTAGTGTACAAGTTTTCAAATTTTTATTCTCTTAAAAAATGCTGAGGATCCTCAAAAGCTAAGAATGGAACCATCATATGACCCAGTTATACTACTCCTCAGTATTTATCTTAAAGAATTAAAGCCATTATACTATAGCAATACATGCATGCCTATATTTATAGTAGCACAATTCACAATACCCATACTATGGAACCAGTCTAAATGTCTATCAACAGATGAATGGGTAAAGAAAATCTGGTATATATACACAGTAAAGTTTTATTCAGCATAAAGAAAAATGAAATTATGTCATTTGCAGGAAAATGGATGGAACTTGAGAACACTATGTTAGGTGAAATAAGCCAGATTCAAAAAGTTATGGGTTAAATGTTTTCTCTCACATGTGGAAGCTAGCAGAGGAAAAAGGAAAAGGTGGTGGTAGGAAATCTCATGAAAATTAAAGGGAGATCAGAAGAGCAGAGAACAGTGACCAGGGGGAGTGGGGAGGRAGATGGAGAAGGTAAGAGAAAATACTAGAGAATAATACTGGCCAAATTATATTGTTATACTGTATGCATGAATGAATATGTAACAATGAATCTCACCACTATGTACAACGATAAGGCACCAATAATAACTATGGATAAAAGTATTAAGGAACCCAAAGAAATTTTGTTCATGAGTTATATATGCTAATATTCACTGTTATCAGAAAAAAAAATTTTAAATGTAATATTTTTTAATGAAACCTCCCAGAATAATTAGGACTGATTCATCATTCCAAATTCTCAATCAACAGATCAATCATTTCTATGTGTGCTCAAGAAGCTGACTGAAATCAATCATTTAACTATGGTAAATGCTTCTAGAGGACTTATTTTCTGCCATGCATTTTACATGCATTAATTCATTTAATACTCCAAACTGATCTGTTTTGTGTACACTTAAAAATGTCATTAAGTTTTTCAATATAAAGAAGATTCCAGCTAACATAGCTGGTAAATGAGAGTTTAAATTTTGTTTGGTCTCCAAGGCTTTGTTATATACCCTTTTAAAGAGTATTATAATTTAAAAACTTGATTCTACAGATATGTGCATACAATTACAGCATTACAAAACTACATATATGTTCATTCAAGCATTTAGGAAAAAAGTAAATTTCATTCTATAGACTTGAAAAAATACGTATCTATTATTTACCACCAAAAGAGAAAATCAAAGATTGCATTTATTCTTGCCTTAAAGTAGTCAGAAAACAAACAAAAAAATTGAAACACTGGTTTCCAAACTGGACAACAGGCAATCAAGAACTGTAATCAGAGAATGAGAGCAAATAAGATCAGTCACTGGATTGTATCACATTAATGTCTTCCCAGTAAATTTGTGGGACACAGCAAAAGCAGAAAAATCTGTAGCATGAAATGTTTATATTAGACAAAAAGATTTTAAATCAATAATGCTTGTTAAGAAACTAGCAAAAGTGGGAAAAACTAAATCCAAAGTAAGCAGGATAACTGGAAGTAATACAGATAAAGACAAAAGTCAATATCATGGAAGAAACAATAGACACACAGTTCTATAGTATAATTGTGGATTATGGTAGTAGATTCTATACTGCAGCCCTCCTAGTTTTCTTTTACCTGTTGGTTAGGTAACCCATAATAGCATAACCTATACACCTTTGCCCAAATTCACCAAATTATATGCTTAAATATGGTGAATTGTATTTGGATACTTATAATATCTAAAAAAAAAAAAAAAACTTTCACAGATCTTTGTAGTTTTTTCCTAAGATTAAATAGAAAAACTGAATCTATCTACATCTTCAAGCTTTGACAGAATGTCCACTGAAATCATCAATTTGTCATTTTCTTACATCACATTCCTCCTGAGAAAGGAATACAATAAAATGGAAAAGATAAATTCAATTCCTCAGGCAACAAAATAACCATTATGAGTTACAATTGCTAAATCATTTTCACAAATAATTTACTTACTTTTGTTAAATTATTTCATGTAATTATTTTAATTTTATAAGAAAGAACAAACAAGAGATGAAAGAAATAAATTGTCCCATTTAAGATCACTGCATCAATTACTAATAGAACTGCTACTCCGACTTCCCAGATTCCCATTTTACTAATTAGACATGCCTAATCTGTTTTTTAAGAATAACAGCTCACATTTTGAAACAGCAGGCTGGAAAGGGACCTGAGAAAAAAGGAAGAAAGAAGAGAAAATGCTGCTCCAGCTAACTGTACTCTAGCAGATATGATCTGTACTGAACGGGGAAGACTAACTTAGAAGAGAAGCAACAGTAGTTAGTTTCAAGTCTTATACCAAGTCTATGAAAGACAGCCATGTACCCAGGCACTTTATCATACTGCTCCTAGATCTGACAAAAATAACATGACAACCTACACTCTGTTAGGGAGGCAGTAAAAATATATACAATCAGAGTTAGCTCTATGAACCTGGGCAATTTACTTAATCTAATATTATCATCTTAGTTTAGGGGAAAGTCTCTTGAAAACCAAGATTACAATTTTTGGTTTTTTAGAAAAAAATTCCCTTCTCTGTATTCAAGATACTATATATTAAAAAAAAAAATTATCCCACATCTCTCGTTTTCTTTTTTTTTTTCTTTTTTTTTTTTTTTTTTAGTTCTCGGCAGACACAACATCTTTGTTGGTATGTGGTGCTGAGGATCGAACCCGGGCCACATGCATGCCAGGCGAGCGCGCTACCGCTTGAGCCACATCCCCAGCCCTCTCTCGTTTTCAAAAGAAATTCAAGAACATTTTTTTTAAAATAGTAAATTTTGAACCTGTTCCCCACCTGCTGTCTCTACTTTGAAATCATAATGGTGACTGCTGGAACATATGGAAAACTTCCAAGGGAGGGAGGAGCAATGACTCCCAACAACGAAAGATAAAAACCATCAGAGAGAAATGCTAGCTGATAAGATAGACTCTGCCTTCACCACATTCAAATGTTCACTTGAACAAAATTCATCCTTCTTTAATTGCTTTAGGAAAAAAGCAGAGAGAAGTAAATCCATAAACAAACTGCCATACAAAAGCCTACAAATACATAACTCAACAAGAACAGGTTATCTTTAGATGTTTTTTAAAAAGAAAAAGAAAAAAAGTACTATATGGGAAACATAAACTTAGGAAAAAAGCCAAGAAATCAGTGAGGAAAGGTATTTTGAGAACTCAGTTGGGGAGAAGGGATGGGGAAGGTGAAATAAAAATGCAGAAGATGTTAAAAGTGAAGACCAGTGGCAAGTTGCAAGAAATTTACAATGCTATTATTTGAAGGATAAAAGCATGGTAGTAGATTCTATACTGCAGACCTCCTAGTTTTCTTTTACCTGTTGGTTAGGTAATCCAAAGGAGGTTAACAATAATATGGTACTAAGTACCTCCCCAGAGAAGAAAACTGTGTCCTTCCTCAATTTAAAAGACATGAATGAAAAATAATTATACATTGCCATAAATTCTTTGCCATTTTCACCATTAAGAGATATAGCATACTTTCTTCCCTCTGAACCTGGAGGTGATCTTGTGACTTGCTTCAATCAGAAGACTCAGAGAAGTGATGTTCTAGATGCTTTCACTTAGAGTCCTGAACACCTTTGTAAAGAGGCCTGGCATATTGCTGGAGAGAATGTGGACAGAGAGAGAAGCCTGGACAATGCACTACCTTAGATTTCTAGCCTCACTAAAATCTCCAAATGACCAGTAGTTAGTTATATAAGTGACCTCAGAAAAGTAGAAGAATCACTGCATACATCTAGTTCATATGGTTCATTTTAATAGTTCATCCACTAAAGTGGTTGTTGGCACTAATCAATATCTGGCAAACATTTTCTTAAACAGAAACTATTTTTAATAGGCTTTTGGGCCATGTGATCTCTGTCTCAACTACTAAATTCAAATAGTTCTACTCTGCTCACCTGCCTCTGTAATATGAAAGGAACATTGTAGATGAAATACAAAGGAATGTGCATGACTGTGTCTTGATTAAACTATTAACAAAAACAGGCGGCAGTGTATTTTGTGTGTGTGTGTGTGTATGTGTGTGTGGTGCTGGGGATTAGAATGCAGGGATGGAAATGGTGGTGGAATATCTTGGACATCATTATTCAAAGTACATGTATGAAGACACAAATTGGTGTGAATATATTTTGTTTACAACCAGATATATGAAAAATTATGCTCCATATCTGTAATAAGAATTGTAGTGCATTCTGCTGTCATATATAAATAAAAAATTAATAAACAACAACAAACAAACAGGTGGCAGGCTGAATTTTGTCCATGGACTAAAGTTTGCAAATCTCCTTTTAATGTTGTAGTGCTTTCTTATTCAAGAAGAGAGGACTAAAAGGATAGGCCACTTTCTTAGAGAGATGGATTTAGTGTAGCTCTTCTCTGGTATGAGGATGGATATAGGAAGTCCCTTTCCTCTTTGTCATGCAACAAACATTTAAATTCAAATTTAAATATGATGGTGCTACACTGAGAGTGTAAGATTCATCCATAACCATCTGCTCCATGGAGCAGTAGTTCACTCAATTAGTCCCATCATAAACTGTTATGGTTTGGATGTGAGGTGTCCCTCAAAACCTCATGTGTGAGACTATGCAAGGAGGTTCAGAGGAAAAATGATTGGGGTATGAGAGTCTTAACCCAATCAGTAAATTTATCACCTGATGGGATTAACTGAGTAGTAACTAAAGGTGGATAGAGTATGGCTAGAGGAGGTAGATACTTGGGGGCGTACCTCTGGAGTATATATTTGTATCTGGCAAGTGGAGTCTCTCTCTCTCTCTCTCTCTCTCTCTCTTCCTGATCATCATGTGAGCCACTTCCTTCTGCTACACTCTTTTGCCATGATGATCTGCCTCACCATGAGCCTAAGGAATGGAGCTGGCTGTGTATGGACTGAGACCTCTGTAACCATAAGCTCCAAATAAACTTTTCCTCCTCTAAAATTGTTCTTGTCAGGTCTTCAGTCATAGCAGCAAAAAAGCTGACTAAAACATAAACTGTCGAATCTGATTCTTATAGGACTTACCCTTTCTAAGAACAATAATGAGTGGCAGATAATACACATGTGGAATCTGAAAAAAAACCACTTTCTCTGCTTATCCAGTTGGTGATCATAACTAAGTTTAAAAGTTATTATTATAAATTACAATGAGGTAGTAAACATAAAATATTTCCCATATTGTTTCTTAAAAATTCTCCACAAGAATAAATACACAAAAAGACAAAAGGCCCTAGCAAGTTTCATCTTCCTAAGTGAAAAAGCAGTTCATCAAGACTTTTCATTGTTTAGGAAAAAAAAAAAAAAATACTATCTCATAGTTTTCTTGAGCTGTCAACCTGTCAGCTATACTACGAAGTTGTTAGTTCTTAGTGTTCCCTTTATATTTTTGGTTATTTCAGAACAGTGCAAATATTTGAGAGTTGTACTGACAGTATATTAGAAAGTAAAATGAAGACTATTTAGAGGCATATTAAAACTTCTAGCTATTTTCTGTTAATCAAAAGAATATATTACAGAGGCTGGGGTTGTGGCTCAGCAGTAGAGCTCTCGCCTAGCACGTGTGAGGCGCTGGGTTTGATCCTCAGCAACACACAAAAGGTATTGTGTCCAACTACAACTAAAAAATATATATATATCACAAAAACTGCAAGGCTGTATTCTCTGGTAATCAGCTTACTTTAAAATTCTTTAAAAAATGAATAAATAATTCTAGATATTTTTTAAACTGGAGGCCCCAAATCCATTTTTATTCATTTTATTAATGGTATAATGATTGATTCACCATGATCTTAAGAAGATAATATAATGTCACTATTTTGCAACTTTTCCACATGTAATTTAGTGAGACTCCAAAAGAAGGGGGTGGAACACTTCCTGTCTAGTCAACTTGATTAATCTACCCAAAGATGGATGGTCACTCACCTGAATTCAACCACAACCTTCCTTGGGGGAAGACCAGAGAAAAGTTCACTTTTTAGTCCATATTTTGAGCCATCTTCAATTACTTGATGTAACACAGCCTGAAATATAAAAGGAGTGGGATTTAACAATAGAATAAAATTGCAATGTTCTTAATTACTTTGTAACTAAGAATTAAATGTTGCTAATTTGTCCATTCTAATTGAAGAAACTGAAAATTTTATAGCGCTGTCAGCAGCATCATTTCCAGCAAAAACCTCCCTGTTGCTAATGCTAGTCACAGCAGTCTTTACAGGAATTAACTCTGACGGGGCTTTCTATGTTCACAAATCACACCTATTCATCCTTATAGTAGCCAATGATGTAGACAAAGATGAGGAAACTGAGGCTTAATGAGGTTAGGTAACTACAGAAGTCCCACAGTAAATAATAACAAAATCAAAAGCAGCATCTAGTGTTTATTAAGTGCCAAGGACTATGCTATGTATGGGATAATTATTTAATTCTTATATATAATCATGTATCAATTTATTTAATTCTTATAATAGCTTCAGAGATAAGTACTACTTCTAGAATGAGGAAAGAAAAATAAAGACAGGTTAAGTAACTTTCCTAAGGTACTGCTATTAAGTCATGTAGCAAAAACTTTTCCCACTCCCCAGTGAATGTGTTAAGTGCTGCACACAGTGTTGCAGCTCTTATGGTACTAAAGTTCACCAGCAATGGTAGGAAAACAATATAAAAACACATAGTTAAATGGCTATTGGCTACACAGTATAAAATAAGGAAATCCTGCAGAAACTTCTAAAACCTTCTAGGTTAATTTTTAGCTACTAACAGAATTGTTGTATAGTTCACGAACTTATACTTTGTTTTTTGCTAATGGTGATGATGTGTCTTTCAAAAAGTAGGATGTTGGGCTGGGGTTGTGGCTCAGTGGTAGAGTGCTTGCCTAGCATGTGTGAGGCGCTGGGTTCAATCCATAGCACCACATATAAATAAATAAAATAAAGGTATTGTGTCCAACTATGATAAATAAATAAATAAAGTAGGATGTAAGCTGAACACGGTGGCTCATGCCTATAATCCCAGTGATTTGGAGGATAAAGCAGGAGGATTACAAATACAAAGCCTGCCACACTCCGCAATTTAGTGATACCATAAGTAACTTAGTGAGACACTGTCTCAAAAGAGCTGAGGATGTGGCTCAGCTGTTAAGTGCCCCTGGGATCAATCCCTGGTACCCCAAACCATCACCACAACAAAACCTCCCAAAATTAGGTTGTGAAATTACTGTTGCTAAGCTTTTTATTCACTCTTAAATTGGTTTTGATTCATCAACTGCATTTTGAGTCCTAAAAATGTAGTTCATGATGTGAAAAATTTTATTATTAAAGAACTGGTTAAGATGGTTATAAGACAGAATAGGCAGAGATGGGAGCAGCAGGAAGTAAAATAACACATACAACAAACATTTAAGGTGCATCCACAGGTGGCTGCGGATTGTAGCTTAGTGGTAGAGCACTTGCCTAGCATGTGTGGAGTGAAGTCCTGGGTCTGATTCCCAGCACTGCAAAACAAACCACCAAGACCAAAAATCCCACAAGAAGACACATCCTCAGAGTGCTAGTTGGTTCAAGACTAGGAGTTTTTATATTATCTTTGTAGTCTCATAATCTTGAAGATGGGCAACATTTTCCATTTAATGCAAAACTAAGGTTCAGAAATAGTATTTATTTGTACAATGACACAGAGAAAATAATACTCTATACAATCAATAGGAAATAGAGAAAGGATTAATATACAGATGTTAAATTGAATAGTGCCTATCATATACTAGGGGCCCAATAAACATTAATACTTTAAAAACATGTGGATAAGAAGACTGCAAGTGGAGAGGTAAACATTAGTGAGAAGGAGTCCATATTCAGATTATTGTAAGTTTATTCTGAATTTTATCTCTGAATTTTCTTATGTTACTGTATTAACTGCCCTTTTGCAGGCCTAATATTTATTGTCTTATTAAAAGAAAAAGCTGTCTTATGATTTCTTCTGTATACATCTTATGTTTCGAACAAGACTATAGAATACCAGAGAGTAGAAACTAGCAGCCCTTTCTTGGAGTCAATACAAAACTGATGTATTCATTCAATAAATATCGATCCAGTGTCTACTATATGCTAGACACTGCTAAAAAACTATGGAGATCCAACAGTGAAAAAATCAGATGCTATTAACCCTAAGGGGATAAGAGTTTAAAGGGAAAGTGGTATTAAACAAATAAAAGGAATTTAAATATCAACTATGGTAGGTTCTATAAAGGAGAGATATAGAGTGCTAYAGGAGAATATAAAAAGATCAGAAATCTACTGCCAAGAAAATCTCAAGATCCAACAGGCTGTTAAACTCAGATGGCACTCCATGCAAAGATCAATATATGCAAAGGTTGTGTGTACAATGAGTTTCAGAGCAGGAGGAAGATCAGTGCAATTAAAGAAGAGAATGAATGTACAATGGCTGGACAATAACTCATTCTTACCTTTGTTAGTAGTTCTCTGTTTATTTTGAAATTCACAGTTCCTGGACCAGTGCTGATTTCACTCACCACTGTATCACATTTCAGCTAGAAAGTAAGCATATTATGAAATAGGCCCAATGAGACATACAGTTCTAATACTACAACTGGCTGACAAAGTCAAGCTGAGTTACCTCTTTCAGTCATTACAGGTGGACCTGGGCCTTAGCCAATCTTCAGTTCCTCCACTTTACTTAGGTAAATACATTTTCTTTTTTTCCTTATTAGAAATGCTATTTTGTATTCAGAGTATCTCCTTTCCCCTTTGTCTTTCCTTCACCTCAAATTCTCCATTTGTCTTACAATAAGCACTTCCCCTTACTCAAGAGCCACAGAACACGACATTGGGTCAGATCCTAACTAAATCTTTTGAACTAACACAAAGCATGTAAATAATTTAGTCTGTCTTCTCTGCTCATGCCCACCCTTCTTAACCACCTAGATGTTCAAACTCCTTGATAAACCTATAGAACTAAAGATGTGCCAGTGTTTACTGAAGAACTTCTAGTCTATATTTTTGAGACAAGAAATAGGAAGAAAGGGATTAAATATCCTAATTAGATTAATTCTACTCCTGGTGTACTTCCTAGTAAAAATCTTAGGTGATTTTTATTATCAAATAAATATCTACCAAGTTATCAAAGTTACTTTATCATACTCATTCCTCACAAATCTTTTTCCTTGACAGTGACTTTCATTGTTCCAATCTTCAGAGATCCCAGATACCTCTTGTGTCACAAATAATAACCCCATTAACAAAGCAACAAAACTTATCTAATATCTGTTTTTGCTGAGGATATTACACTAACAATTTAGATTTGGTCGGGCTGGGATCATGGCTCAGCGGTAGAGCACTCACCTAGCACGTGCAAGGCCCTGGGTTCGATCCTCAGCACCACATAAAAATAAACAAAATAAAGATATTGTGTCCAACTACTAAATAAATAAAAAAATAAATACTAAATAAATAAATAAATAAATAAATAAATAAATAAATATTTTTTAAAAAAATTTAGATTTGGTCATTCTCTACAATCTTTTAAAATAAATAAAACCCACCAGGGAACTTAGAAATACTTAAGTTTTATGAAATCATCTAAACACTTCTTCCCTGTAATCATGATTCCATTTACATTTAATCATTTCTTCTCATATTTTAATGTTCTTCTCAGAAACTCATTTTAAAAATTGCAACCCACAGCTCTAATTTATCAAGCTTGTTCTCCAAAATTCAGAAGTCCACCCAGCTTCAATCTGTAAATTTAATTAACACTTCAGTCCTACTTTGAAGTACTTAATCAAAAAATTGAACATTGTCAGCTCAAGAGGAATGCTTTATAAATAACTTGAAAAATCATTGTAACCTTATAGTAGTACAGGGCTAAAATGAATTTAAATGATATTTTCTAAGATAAAAAAGAAACACTATTAAATTCATTATTACAGATGAGAAACCCTGCAGAGCACTCTTTTTTCCTTTAAAATGCTAAATTTATTATAATGTTAAATAGAGATAATAGTGCTAAAATACCTTCTCTGCCAGTTTCTTGGCTTGAACTTGAATATCTGGTCTTATGTGATCATTGCTATTTTCCAGTAAAGAATCCACAGATAGCTGAAAGTCAGCTACTTCTCTAAAGACAGAAATTGAAATGAGAAAGAGCTGTTGTTATCTTAGAAGCATTACAAGTTTAACAAAGGTTAATCATTGCGTATTTTTCATATGAAAATGATTTTATCGAAAAAGGCATTTTGTTTTCAAAATTAAAAGCAAGGAAATTAGAAATCACCTTGTATTTATTTAAAAACTTTTTTCTTTTAACATTTTATAAAATTTTTCCTTTTCTGTTATGTAATTGTAACTTTATGATATCTCTGTGAAATAGACAGAGGTGTCTGGGAAATTAAATGTCTCCTGTCAAATTCTTCTTCTTTTTTTTTTTTTTAAAGAGAGAGAGAGAGAGAGAGAGAGAGAATTTTTTAATATTTATTTTTCAATTATCGGCGGACACAACATCTTTGTTTTTGTATGTGGTGTTGAGGATCGAACCTGGGCTGCACGCATGCCAGGCGAGCGCGCTACCACTTGAGCCACATCCCCAGCCCTCCTGTCAAATTCTAATGCAACTAAGCAGATGCAGACAAAAGTTCAGGTCTTTTGGCCTCTTCCTATGATGCTTCCTATACTACTCCAAATGCTTGCTTCTAACTCTTGCTCCCCCACTGACTTCCAAATGACAAAAAAAAAAAAATATATATATATATATATAGAACTTGAGTTTCAACACGAGGGAAAAAAATTCATTCTGAATACTCAGTAGTTCATAAAACAGACACTGCCACTTATCCTTTTCATTCGGTTGATGATGAAACAATGCAAAAACAAATACAACACCAGCAATGAGTGAAAATCAACATTTGCTTGATGAGAGCAGTTCTGTCTAAGGAAAGAAAGTAGGGAATGGAATCAAAGAAGTACATTTCAGTGACTTGAACAGTATTTGTAACATTTTATTACTAAAAATCAAGAGCCATCCTTCTCCTCTCAAAAAATAAATAAATAAAAATGAAAAAATATGGAAAAAACTTAATTCAGAAAGTGATCACAAGTGTTTTATTATTCTCTACAAATTTTTCTGTAGATTTAAAATGTACAAAAGTTCAAGATCTACAAAATAGTTTTTAAATCAACATACATCTGTATAATTACACTAACATCTTTTGATGTTTAATAAGAGAATAGAGAATAGGACTTCATGAGTATAGTACGTGGTTTGTCCATTCTCTGTCTAGCACATATGTCACTCACATGAGAAGGGCACACTTTAGAGGGGCACAAGTGACTTCCTTATCACTTATGGTTATCAGGGAAATATCTAAAAATTCCTGTGTGACTTCTGGTTAACATCAGATTTTAAAAGTCTATGATAATCATTAAGAATTTTCCTGGGCCTTGTGAGATACAGTGGTGCATGCTTGAAATGCTATTGACTTGGGAGGCTAAGGCAGAAGGACCTGAAGTCTGAGACTAGCCTCAGCAAATCAGCAAGACCCTGTCTCAAAAAAGTTAAAAGGCTGGGGATGTGGCTCAGGTTAAGCGCCCCTGGGTTCAATCCCGGATACCAAGAAAAAACTAAAAAGAATTTTCCCGGGGGCCTTAATCCATTATTCAGAGTGGCTAACACAGACCAACCCAACTCATCTGCTGACATCTAAGCTGTCACCACAGACCCAAGTTCATCTACAAATCCGTGCCTGTGTGATGTTGGAGAAGTTGCTTAATCTCTCAGTACTCAGTAAAATGGTGATGACAATGGAATCTACTTCACAGTGTTGTTTAGAAATCAAGTCTTGGTTATGAATTATATTAATCCTAGTTATGATGTTAAATGAAAATGTTAAATAGTATCAGCACTGACCTCTGGGAAAGTCTTTTTCTACTTTATAGTACATGATAATTCAATTTTCTAAAAATCATGAAATTCTTTTAAGGTTTGAACGTATTTATTCTTACCAAAGAACTCTTCATAGTTCAGTCAAGTATTTATGCCAATCATGGGGAACTAAACTAGTTAACAACATGGGAATAACATAAAAAGCAGAATAACAAATTCAAAGATATATACCAATTATAGAAAATAATGTAAATAAAAAGTAGTAAGAGCCCTGATAATAATATTAACTGAAATACAGATTTGAATACATCAAAGATTAAATTATTGTATGTTGATACATACCTTGGATGTTTTAGAGAAGATTTAATATGACTCAGACTCTCAAACATCCAGGAAACACAAAGAAATCATACAATTTTTTAAAAAATAGTGTAAAATTATGAAGAGTTACAAGCATTTGTAAGGTATAACACACTAATAATTTAATTTAAAAATTGTATAATCTCCATGGAATCATAAATATTTCTAATTAGTTCAGTGGCAGAAGGACAAAAAAATTGATCCTTTTAGTTTGTTAACAATGATTAATACCAACTTATTAAACTAAGAATATTTAAAACATAAATTCTGAAATTATATGAAGGGTTACCTATCACTACCAAAGGTGCAAAAGAGAAGGAAGTGAGGGAGATCAACCAGATTTCCATCTACTTCCCAGTTGCCCCTTTGGGGAACATTTTTTTTTAATTGGTTGTTCAAAACATTACAAAGCTCTTGACATATCATATTTCATACATTAGATTCAAGTGGGTTATGAACTCCCATTTTACCCCGTATACAGATTGCAGAATCACATCCACATTTTTACATAATGCCATATTAGTAACTGTTGTATTCTGCTACCTTTCCTATCCTCTACCATCCCCCCTCCCCTTCCCTCCCATCTTCTCTCTTTACCCCATCTACTGTAATTCATTTCTCTCCTTGTTTTTTTTTTTTCCATTCCCCTCACAACCTCATATGTAATTTTGTATAACAATGAGGGTCTCCCTTCATTTCCATGCAATTTCCCTTTTCTCTCCCTTTCCCTCCCACCTCATGTCTCTGTTTAATGTTAATCTTTTCCTCCTGCTCTTCCTCCCTGGTCTGTTCTTAGTTGCTCTCATTATATCAAAGAAGACATTTGGCATTTGTTTTTTAGGGATTGGCCAGCTTCACTTAGCATAATCTGCTCTAATGCCATCCATTTCCCTGCAAATTCCATGATTTTGTCATTTTTAGTGCCGTGTAATACTCCATTGTGTATAAATGCCACTTTTTTTATCCATTCATCTATTGAAGGGCATCTGGGTTGGTTCCCTTTAGGGAACTTTTAATCATACACCCAAAAAGAACTTTTGGTTTTGCTTTGTCTATTTGAAGAGATAATTCTTGCATGTGAATTATGTATAAAAATTTTAAAACTGAAAACAACGTAAATGTCTATCAACAGTAGAATAACAGAATATTACAAAAAAAGTGATGTCAAGGAAAAAGGTTAAAAAAATCTTATATAGTTTTGTAGCTTTTTTTTTAATCTGAAAAACATATTCAAAGACAAAGAAATGAAAAATACACTAACTTCCTAAAATCAGTTACCTACTATAGTAAGATTATTGGGACTTTATTTTTCTTATTCTTCTGTATTTTCCTGAATTTCCTTAAAGAGATTGTTTTGCACTCTATAGTTTTATGAAATTAATCCCTCTTACTTTCATTTTTTGGGGGGGTGGGGATACTGGGGATTGAATTCAGGGACACTCCCACTGAGCCACATCCCCAGCTCTATTTTTGTTTTTTTGTTTTTTTTTTTCAGAAACAGGGTCTCACTGAGTTGCTTAGCTCCTCACTGCTGTTGAGGCTGGCTTTGAACTCATGATCCTCCTGCCTCAGCCTCCTGAGCCACTGGAATTACAGGTGAGTGTCACTGCTCCGGCTCTTACTTTCATTTTTTAAAAATTAAAACCAGTAAGTTTAAAAAAGCAATAGCTACTTTTCCACTAACTTCTGAAGGTTGTTGTGTTGGTTAATGTGAAAGCCACAGGCTTTGAGTACTACTGACTTATGACAATGCTCTCAATTCTAATAAAATCAATGTTATTATATAGGAAGTTCACCATAGCTGAAAATACATGGAGAACTAGCAGACCTGAGCAAATGGTTCATTTTATATTACCTAATCTATGCCAGCAAAAAACAATATTTCTTAATTCTCCTAGCACTTAATAGCATTCTAATATAAAGTCAGAAATATGGAACAGTGAGACTTGGTTTTTAACTGTAAGGGATACTCTGGATTTATTATAGCAAAACAGTAAAGGTTTCCTCAATATGGAGAATTTTAGACTTGTGGCTCAGAAAATTTTTGAAGTGGTTCTCAATATTTATTATTTATAAACCAAAATCTTAGTACTTTGGATTATTAAAGCAAAGGCAAGCAAAGGCAATCCTATTCAAAAGATGGGTCAAAATAGTTTAGTTTATTAGAGGTCTTTGAAAAGACATTAAAATTAAGAGATTACCCTTATTATGCAGAATGCAAATTACAGATTTTATGAAATAAGTAACTGATGTGGAAAACTACATAAATTTACATATAATTATGAGAGCCCCTTGGTCCCTTGTTGCCTCTGTTCTTGGAATTCACATAAAGGAAGATGCAGTAGGCCATTTTATAGGTGTTCTCTTTTACTACAAGGTCAAATGTAGCCTCTATCTTCCCTTTCCATTTATTTCTTTGTTCTATCCTGAGAACAGGAATATTCATCTTATGCTAAAAGTCTTGACATAATTAAGGGAATGAAATACAAGGACATATTGCTACCAGTAATTACATTGTTACCTCTTTCAAAACCTTGGGGCTCAATGCCTACTATGTGGCAAATATGTCATTATTAACTGACAATACGGTGGTCCCTTGGTGCCTGAGGTTCCAGACACCCCATAGATAAAACAATATGTAGATGTTCAAATTTAAACCTCATTACCAAAGACTTTGACACGACTATCACTGCAAGCATAAGCAAGCATAAAAATAATTAATGTAAGAATATTACCTGTCTCATCAGAGTATCCAATACAGATTTTAATTTTATTGTTGATTACACTAATAAGTTGAATATAATGAATCACATCTTATAATTCACTTCAAAGACTATTCCATAAATTGAAGAGTAACAATTTTTTTTATTCAACAAATTTGAGAACATTATAGATTGCTATAAATGTATTAATTATACTTAACTCTTTCCTGGAAATTGGAACTGCAGATATTGATTTGATCAAGTTTTCTGGTGGAAGATCCAGCACTCTGGAAAGCTAAGTCAAAAAGAACAAAATAGGGTAAGACTGTAGATAATATTTGTTCCATATTCATACTACTACTTAAAAATAAAAAGAATAAACAACTGACACGCCAACATAAATGGACATTATGCTAAGTAAAAGAAGCCAGATTCCAAAGATTATATAGTTTATAATTCTATTTACTTGACATTCTAGAAAACTCAAACTATAAGGTTGTAGAATAGATTTGTGTTTGCCAGGAGTTGAGGGTGAAGGGACGGTTTGACCATAAAGTAGTAAACAAATTCATTTCAGGATGAATTTTGTCTTTATAAATTTAAAACAAAGTTTAGGAAAAAGTATAGATTTTAGTTTAGCTATAAGAGGGAAAATGTGAATCAGAGAAACCCACAATATCATAGCAGCTCCATAAGAATGAATTAAAATAGCAGTTTTGCAGTAGCAAACTATGGCAGAAAGATTGTGGGAAAACACTGGTAGGCAACTCAGTGACCTAGCAATTAGGTTAAAACCAAAAATATTAGCTTCTACAATAGAAAGACAATAAAAGCAACAGATGGTGGCAGTGTCAGGTGTGCTTTGGCTCAGTGGGGGAAGGGAAGCACCTGTCAGAGCCAAAAGACATTTTCCCACTAGGTTTAAAGAAAAACCATGCTGCTGTTCAACAAGTTTGCAATCTGAGTAGAAAACATCAGAAATGGCAAGCTAATCTGGCACAGGGAGGATGCTCCACTGCTCCCCAGAAGAAACAGTTGAAGTAGGGAATAAGTGACAGCTTAAAAAAGACTATTCTGGACTTCCTAAGTGATAGACTAGGAATCCTGGAAGTTTACCTCGTGTTTTTTCTTTCTTTCTTTTTTTTTTTTTTTTTTAAATTTTTTTGGTTGTAGATGAACACAATAACTTTATTATATTTATTTATTTCTATGTGATGCTGAGGATTGAACCCAGTGCCTCACGCATGGAAGGCAAGCGCTCTATCACTGAGTTACAACCCCAGTCCCTTAACTTTGTATTTTCATGTTTCACAATTTCTTTTTTTGTCTTGTTCTTGGTATAGGCTTTTTGAATACCCAACACCAGTTACTTAAACTCTACTTTTCACCAGATCAGTAGGTGCCCACACCATGGGGCAGTCTGAGCATATAAGTGAGACTGTACCACAGACTAGGGAGAAATTCAGGGTGGCCACTCAGTCAGTCTGCAGAGCAGATAAGAATGAAGGGTGATTCTCAGATGGGAGAGTCTAAAATTAAAATCACAGAAAGAAAAGCCAATACTTAAAAAGAAACCTCAGGGCTGGGTTATGGCTCAGTGGTAGAGCACTTGCTTAGAATGTGTGAGGCACTGGAATTAATTCTCAGCACCATATATAAATAATAAATAAAATAAAGGTTCACTGATGACTTAGAAAGACATTAAAAAAAAAAAAAGAAGAAATCATGAAATTCATTTGGAAAAATAAAAGACCCAGAATAGCAAAAGCAATTCTAAGCAGGAAGAGTGAAACAGGCGGTATACCAATACCAGACTTCAAACTATACTACAGAGCAATAGTAACAAAAACAGCATGGTATTGGTACCAAAACAGACGGGTGGACCAATGGTACAGAATAGAGGACACAGAGACCAATACAGAAAATTACAAGTATCTTATATTTGACAAAGGTGCTAAAAGCATGCAATGAAGAAAGGATAGCTAAAAACATGCAATGGAGAAAGGACAGCATCTTCAACAAACGGTGCTGGGAAAAATGGAAATTCATATGCAACAAAATGAATCTGAATCCCTTTCTCTCGCCATGCACAAAAGTTAACTCAAAATGGATCAAGGAGCTTGATATCAAAATAGAGACTCTGCGTTTGATAGAAGAAAAGGTTGGCTCTAATCTACATATTGTGGGGTCGGGCTCCAAATTCCTTAATAGATGACCCATAGCACAAGAGTTAAAAACAAGAATTAACAAATGGGATTTACTCAAACTAAAAAGTTTTTTCTCAGCAAGAGAAACAATAAGAGAGGTAAATAGGGAGCCTACATCCTGGGAAYAAATTTTTACTCCTCACACTTYAGATAGARCCCTAATATCCAGAKTATACAAAGAACTCAAAAAATTARACAATAAGRHAACAAATAACCCAMTCAAYAAATGGGCCAAGGACCTGAACAGACCCTTCTCAGAGGAGGACACACAATCAATCAACAAGTACATGGAAAAAATGCTCACCATCTCTAGCAGTCAGAGAAATGCAAATCAAAACCACCCTAAATGCTTACAATGATATATTTTATGGTATATATATTTGCCCACATTTAAAAAAAAATTCAAAGAAAGACTTCTGAAATTAAGTAGTGACTCACGTAATTGTCTCTCGCCCAATATCAAATTAAAAATAAAAGGAACAAAGGAAATAAGAGAGAAAGTGAATAAGTAGGTAGCTTGGTTCTCCAGCAGCAAATACACAAAATATAAACAGCCCAAATTCATAAAACTTCAAAAGGGCTAGCAAGCCAAGGGAAGATTCTGCAATTTTGACACAGAATGGGGCAATACTATTTGATGAGCTACCTATCTTGGGCCTCATGTGTCAGAAGTCAGAGAAATTAAATAATAATTTTCATTAATAACTCAAATCTGGAGAGAAACAAATTGAATGAATTCCATTCGTCTTATGACTGGGAGATGCTGCCAAGCTACAGAAGAGAATGAATAAAATAGGGAAGGGAATTCTGGCACTTTCCAGAAAAAAGATTCTAGGGTAACACACAGAGGCCTTCCCAATTATGGGAGCAAACTTTGGGAGCAAACTTTGAGATGATGCTGTGTATGCAGTAAGAATCAGAAGGGATTTTTTTTTTTTTTTTTTTTAAGGAGTACTGAAAACATCAGGGCTAGTTAGTAAAAACTAAATATGCCCAGTCAGAATTCAGGAATGCTATGTAGGTCACTATGACCTACTGAAGAGAGAGACAAAAGAAGATAGAGTAGAAAATTATAGTTTATATTTTTGCAACCACAAAAGTGAGGAGAGCAAAGAACAAATGTATAAGGAATGAAGAAGTCACTCATGCAATAGGCAAACAAATACAAAGTTGGCTGGGCTGGAGATGTGGCTCAAGCGGTAGAGCGCTCGCCTGGCATGCGTGCGGCCCGGGTTCGATCCTCAGCACCACATACAACGAAGATGTTGTGTCCGCCGAAAAAACTAAAAAAATAAATAAAATTCTCTCTCTCTCTTAAAAAAAAAAAAAAAAACAAAGTTGGGCAGAGCTGTCAAGCATGACCAACTGAAAAAGATCAAGCATTGCAAACAGGCAAACAAACTAAGGGAGAGAAAGGGAGGAGGAGGGAGGGCAAATTGAAAGACAAAATGCAAAGAATGCATCATATAAGAGATCAAATAACTCGGTCCAGAAGAAAAATATAATCCAACAAAAGACATTCTTTACAAATGCTCCAGGATTTGGAACTTACTCAGATTATGAATAGGGTAAAAGAGAACTAAAAGACAAAATGAAAAAAGATTAAATGGGAAGATAAAATTTAAATTAAATTATCAAACCTTCACCATAAAACTAATAACCATAATCACAAAGAGAATATTTATAATTGAAAACAAAAAATATTACACAGAAGAACTAACATAATCAGAGAATTCAGGTTTTAATGAGTAGCCATTAAAGGGGTCAGAAAAATAAAATTTGGGACAACACAATTCAAAATTAAGAAAATTGTTGTTCTAAACCACAGAAAAGAACAAAGACTGGCAGGCAAGCTGACAGAAAGGCAGGCAGATCGATTCTCTAGCAGCAAACCTAAAAACAGAGAGACAAAGGCCAAAGTCACAAGTTTTGAAAGTGATAGTCAAGGGAAGAAAAAACAACAAAAAAATATTCTGAGGGGCCACACATGGTGGAAGCATATGCCTGTAATTCTGGCCACTTGGGAGGCTGAGGCAGGAGGATGGCAAGTCCGAGGCTAGCCTTGGCAACTTAGCAAGACTGTCTCAAAATAATAAAAATAAATTTATGTGGCTCTCAGTGGGTAAGCCCCCTGGGTTTAATCTCTAGTTAAAAAAAAAAAAAAAAAAAAAAGATTCTGAAGTCAAATACAGCAACCTCATTTGGTGGGACTTCCCACTTGATCTCAGCAGTTACAGAGATGAAATTAGAAAAACCCAAGAAAACCAAAACATATTCACAGATATATATATAGAGATACAGATTAGATAGATAGATTATATATATATATATATATATATATCTTCCTGAAGAAAGAAGGGATAGACTGAGAAGAGGGAAGAGAAAAAGACAGTGTAAGATTGTGTCATCAAGGTCACTGCTATAGACAATTGGGGCTAAATTTTTATACACAACACCTTTTGAATTGCTATCCAAAATAACTGTGCCATACTGGAGATAAGCCTATGCTAGGCCCAGCAAACTTCAGGCAGAATGAAGTACTGTTAGCAATAAGTGAATGTGTAAGCATACATGGAACCTCTTTACACAAATGGCAGCTGCAATCAGAGGTATGACCAAGGTGATGGGCAATGAGGCACAATATTCAATAAAAAGGAAAACTTCCCTGAAATAAAGAACCAAATCTAAATCTTAGTATATTACTGCAATTACATACCATTTAGCAGTAAAATTGAAGTAGATTTGTTTGCATTATTACAGATGAATCTTTTAAAATTGATCCAAACAACCCAAAAACTTCAAGCTTCAGAAAGATTAGTTTGATATCATTTRTATTGTAAAGGTAAAATTTCTAAGCTGACTCTAAGCTGCAAGAGTCTGAGTTAAAGTGTAAAAGATTGGGCATTGTAAAGTTTCTAAATTGAAAGGCTTGGGCTAAAAATAATAATAATAGGCCAAGTATTGTTAAAATTCCTCTGCTACCCCAGGAACCTGTAATCTCTGTAGCTGTTAGAACAATACCTGAACTGCCCAGTAAATATTTCCATTGATTCCCTGGTTGTTTATTAGCTAAGGGCTCCAAATAGCT